TGGTTCTGCTATTAAAGCAATTGACAGTTACACCGACGATGATGGTGGTGTCACATGCAAAAACCGCTTTGCGAAGGATGACGTCCTGAAAATGACGACTTTGCGCGTCCAGCTAATATGCACTGGGCGTCCTCATTGCGCCTGCGTGCAGATGGCAGAGACGGTTAAATTGGACGATTATCCGCGCGATAAGAGTGCGTATGGCGGCCTCAGGATGCAGCAGAAGGTGTCGGTGTAACAACCGCGATGTACAGTCAATTGGACAATGCGAGCTGAAGCGATCGAGCGAGAACCAAAAGTTACCGCGGTGGGCGTTGCCCCGACGCGAGCAGTTGCACCAGCAACGCGACATAGCGTGGACCGAGAGTGTGTGCAACGTATATATTCGAAACCACCCAAAGCTACCCGTAACCGAGGAAAAAAAATCGCAACGCGCGCGTAATGCACGCACGTCACACCTTCAGTGATCACCGGGTTTATCAAAATGATCGAGACAGATTTTTTATTTTTTTTAGCTATTCGCTTTATGAACGTTGCTATTGGAGGCTCTAGTACGGGCATCGTATGTAACTATACATGATCCTTGCTGCTTAGGTATATTATCGGAAGAAGGTAAGTTGCGTAATACCTCTGTTTCACGGGCCATTTCAAGAACGCACTCCTTAAGAGAATCGGCGAACCAGAGCACGCCGAAGGGCACGCATATCGATATCGCGAACTGTGATTCATCCAGTTTATTCGCGGTGAGAAGCTCGCTAGGTCGACGCTTCTGTTTTCCTCACTTTGGGTAGTGCACGTGCTACCCACGCGGTTCTATTTTATTAAGGCCTTATATGTCTCATCGTTCAGTCGACCTTCAAAGTCCTTGAGCGAAAACACGTCGGCGATACGAAAGGTACCAAAACGTTTACGTGACCACTCAGGCGATTTGGAGGCAATAAAATTAAGAATGATGGCAAAGCGAATGAAGAGGAATCAAAGAGAATTAAGAGGAGTTAAAGTGAATTAAGAGTAATTAAAGAAAAGTAAGAGTAATCAATGGGAATTAAGAAGAACTATAAAGTGAATTAAGAGGAATCAAAGTTAATTAAGAGGAATTAAAGTGAATTAAAGAGAAGAGCAATCAAAGCTAATTAAGAAGGACGACAAAGTAACTAAAGGAGTTAAAGTGAATTGAGAGGAATTAAAGCGAATTAAGTGGATGACTCAGCGAATTAAGTGGATGACTAAGCGAATTAAGACGACGACTCAGCACATCGAGAAGGATGACTGAGCACATTGAGAAGGATGACTTAGCACATTAAGAAGGATGACTCAGCACATTGAGAAGGATGACTCAGCACATTGAGAAGGATGACTCAGCACATTAAGAAGGATGACTCAGCACATTAAGAGGGGTGTCTGTCTTTAATGCATCGGCGCTTGGGCTTTGGCCTTCAAGTCGTCTTGGGGATAACGTAAGAGACCCTGTGAATGTTTTTCATAGTGCATTGAAGCTTGGCATTGAAAGTGCCTGCACCAGCAGAGGAAGTTGAAAGTAACCTCAATCTGGGTTGTGAAAACATTCCACCAGGCGGCGAAACTTCTCGCCGCGAATAAATATTGTTTTTTTCTGGTTGCTTTTGGATTGTCCGTGAAACAGGGCTATTGTTTGAAATTACACCAGAGGGCGCCACATCCTTACCACCAATAAGCCATAGCCGGTCTCTTTTGTCACGGCCGCTCGATTCCCTCCTTCGGGGTCGATGGTCCGCGCTCCTGTTTTCGTCTTGGACCCGGGAGAGTCTTGTCGAAACTACTCGTGTGGTAAAGAGTGATCTTTCGAGACATAGGCAGCAGAGTTTGATGCTCGTCAATATCTTCTGTGAGTAAAATAAAAAAAAACCACCATGTCACGGTCGCCCAAACTATAGTTTCGCCTTGGATACACAAAAAAAGAGAAAGAAAAAGAAGAGCGCTTTATGCATTCGCGAGTCACACGAAGACCTCGACTCACTCCTCGCTTTTCCACGATGCGTCGTCACGAGCAGTGATCAAAGGATATGAAAATCCAAAAAGGTATAAGTGTGTATCAGTCGACGTAAGATGAGAAACACTGCTGTCCTAACAAACGATTCTTTCCAGGACGTTGATTGAACGCAGCAGCAGGAATTCTTCGAATAAAGAAATAACTTGTTGGGCTGCTTGGTGCCCTCATCAACAAAAAAAAAAAAAAAAAAAACGAGAAACGGTCAAATTCATTCGGTGAAAGAAGACACGTGAATCAGCGCATAGAAATGTTTTTTGTTACAGCGAAACGAGAGGCAACAGTTGAAGCGATTTTAAACGGAACACCGGTAATGCACGCGTCTGGCAGAGAGTATACGAGCGTGGCATTCTCCTCCGCCGATACTTGGCCACGAATTTCGATTCGTACGTCTTCCTTTCGGTTTCTTTTTCGCTCTTTCCATTCCGATCGTGTTGCACAAACAAAGCGTACGATTTACAGCGATCATTTTCGGGACTGAACGGCAAAATGAGCATACACCCTCTCCGCCGCGCGCACACATTACGCCGTGGGAAAGACACCACAGCAGATCCACGAACCGAGACGAGATGAAGTCGAAGGAGAACTAACACCGAGTTTGAAAACGAAATGAAAGACACACAAAAGGAAAACAAAAAGGACTTCCTTTTAACGCGTACCTGAAGCGTATACAAGAACATCTCGTGCGCTTCGGAATGTTTCCTTCTTCTTCTCTGTCATGTTTCCAGATATCAAAGTGAGCTTTGAGGGGGGGAGTTTTTGCGGTGCGCGGGGCGCGGAGATGTAATCGCATACCGCGGCGCGGTGGCCACAAATGCAGTTTCAGTTGCTCTGTTGTATCGATTCTCAATGCGCGTTGCTGATGCTGCTTCCGCGTCGACGGTGTTCCCCTTCCTTTTATGCGTCGGGCCCTGCCGTGTGCGTGCATGTAATGGCATTCGCTTTAAACGCATCGCCCGCGATCTCTGCTTCGGAGACGACCGACCGCGGTGGCATGGCTTGCTGAGCAGAGCCCGAAAAGGAAGAAGGGAAGACCTCTAAGGAAATGCTGGATGAGCTGTTTTGTTGGCTTTGTACTGTTTTTGTTTCCCTGTCCGCGGACCTCGATAGAGTTAGTATAAAGGTGACCGTTTTTGTCGCGTGGGGACCCAAATAAAAAGAGAAAATGGAGCCTTTTTTTTTTTTTTTTAATACGCGAAGGTTTGATTAGCCTCCCAATGATAGAACTTCTTTTTTTACTTTTTTTTAAGACACTGTGCACATGTTGAGATTCTTTTTTTTTTCGTGTGTGTGTTTTAGTTAGGCTTTTCATTTAGAAAAGGGAAAGGGAGGGGGCGAGAGGAGACTGATGACTATATTTCAGGAGTGACTTGATTTTTGCTTCACCGACGATGCAACCATAAAAGGAACACATTCCAAGAAATGCCTGCGACTCTTCTCAGCGGCAGAACACTCAGAGAGCCAATCATTGTGATCTAGGAAATCAGTTCAGCGAATGATGAGGCGAAACGCCCTTTTTGACCTAAAAATTAGTCTGCGTTGCGGCATTGCGGGCATGATGCAAGGCATTATGCCTGCATTGCTTAATGCTACAGCGCAGACTTCATTTCAAAATCTAAACGGATGTTCCGCCTCATCATTCGCTGAATTGATTTCTTAGATCACAATGACTGGCTCTTTGAGTATTTTGCCGGTAAGTAGACGCGCAGGCATTTCTTCGAGTGCAACGCTACGCGCGAGCAGGGTCCCACAACAGTCGAGGCGCGTTTTTCTAGTTGTTGTTCTTTTTCTTTAGCTACAGGCTTAATCGGATTAATGTACATGCCTCCCAAATGGGATGTTTCCATAGGTAAAAGCAACTAGATGGGCGTAGCGATGGCTATGCTGAGGGATAGAACGATTTAGTGTTCTAAAGGCGTTCGGTCTCAAGGTAGTTTTCTCGCGGAAGAAAGGGAACGTGCCTTGATTTGTACGCATTGCCATTCCATTCTGACATCTGTATGTTGTTCGAAGGAGACCTGGGCCGGCTTGCTCGATGTGAAATCATTATGTATTTGAATTTACAAAACAGAGAATTGCTAATCCTGAGGCGCGCCAGAACGTGGATGCAATCTTCGACTCTGCTTGTGCGCCAGTTTTGCATGCATGCATACTTACTTTCAGACTGCCCTAGATAAGACGCGACTCGTTTTGCTTCGAGCAAGTCGGCCTCAGGCTCCAAAGCACGTTCTATTCACTTTGATCAACTTTGCAGGCCAGTCTCTCGACCCTGTAATATTCGCATTCTTGAACCAAACCGTTATTGAGCCTCAACATTCGTTGAACGCTCTCCGCAAATCGTTGGACGGACCGTTGGTGAAAAACTTCTAATCCCTTTTACTCTCTACTCGATGCAGTAAATAAAGTATATAATGTTTAAAAAACAAACAAAAAAACTTAATCGCGCTCTAGCTCTGTCAGCATTTTACTCGCCTTCTTTGTGATTTCACGAGTGTCAAAGCTGGTTCCGAGAAGCGCTGTTGTAGGGTTTGAACCAAGGTGGCTTAAAAAGACAGAAGACGTATTCGTAAAATTGTAGGCAATACATTTTAGCGAGAACTCAAAGCATCCTAACGAGATTAGAGCGATTTCTTGCCGTCTAAGTAAGCCCAAAGGTATATCACAATTACTACCCCGTGCCTAATCTTTTGCCATTATTTGACCACTTTCGGTGTATGGGCGGATTAGAATGCTAACACACCAGTCGAAGACAAGATCGGGGCACCGTACATTTGCTATCGGCGAGCAACGGAAGAGGTTAAGATCCACTAGATGTACTTACCTTATAAGTTACAACGTATGAACTTCAAACCAGACATAACAAAATCGTCGTTCTTTATCACTACCAAAGAGGTTTCTGGACGATTCAAGCAGCGCATATATCGTGACTGGAGGGCGCGTCCTCACCAAGGCGCATCCTCTCTTTCGACCCCAGTGCTGAAGACAGGCGCCTCAGGCCTAATCGCCTACAGGCTGTCCACAAAAGACGGCAAATGGCAGTGGCTGCAGACCAGCGCCCGTCTGGTCTACAAGAACTCCAAGCCAGATTTCATCCTCTGCACCCACAGGCCACTCATGTGAGTTCCCGCGATTTTTCACGCTCTCCTCATTCAGTCAGTGAACGCCGAGGTGTACTCCGGCATCAGTTGATGTCTGGGAGCACATATTATGCACGGTTACCGTCCGCAACAATGGATGCTTTTACGGCGAAAACTTGCGTTTGAAATCTAAGTTGCATCATGCATATGCGTTTTCTTTTGAGCAGATGTCATACGGGTCATAAGTAACCCTTTGCGTGTCTCAACACGGACACCATCGTATACGTATTAGGCTTTTAAAGCATGAAATGGTCCCTGACCGCAGTCGCCTCAGCATTCGGCCCAACATAGCTGATCGAAAACGCGTTTTGAAAACGGCAGCTACCAGAGTGATTTCGCTTCTCGGTAGTTGCGTCGTGCCGTCTTAACATAGTCTTTCAAAAAAAAGAAAAAAAAAGAGGGTGTGGGAGAGGATGTCGAGGCCGCACTTCCCTGTCGCGTGTCAACACGCCTCTCGCTCCTGCTGCGCCGCCCGCAGCAGGAGCGAGTATTTCACGATTTTGACCGAACTTGGTGTCCGAGAAAGGGCTGTGACTATTCTCAAAATGAGCACCTATGTAGTTAGTACTTGACGGGTAACTCTCTCCGAAGAAATCTAGCCAGCGCTAAATACGCCCTCCTTTTTCTCCGATGTCGCCACGACAGGGAGGAGGAAGGACGGGACCTTTTGGGCAAGCGTACGATGGACTTCAAGGTGACCTATCTAGACGCCGGCTTGACGACGTCAAGCAGCTGCTCGTCAACGAGTAGCGAGAGGAACGGCGGCAGCGGCAGCCTCCTATCCGAAAACGACTTCATCCTGCGCTGCCAGCGAAACCGCCGCTACAAGTCGCAGATCCGGGACCTGCTCAGCCGAGGCAAGCGCGGCAAGACGTCTCCCGCGGGAGAGGCCCCCACGCCGCCGCCTCCGGCCTACCTGGAGGACTACGGCAACGTGTACGCGACGACGCCGTATGCGGCGGCCGACAACGGCCTGCCCGGCTACGGCGTGCCGCAGAACCTCTTCCTGGACAACTCAAGGTTTCTGGCACCCGAGAACTTCCTCCACTACCGGCACCTGAGCGGCTATTACACCCCCGAGTATCCGCAATACGGAAACGGCTTCCTGGACCCGACAGCCAGGTGAGAGCGTTTAGATGATCTTCTTGAGTCCTGCATGAGCGCGGCGTCCAGTGGTACGAATATAGTGGTGGTCAAGTTGCCACTACGAAAGACTAGACTCGTGGACAACTTTCTGTGGTTTTGCGGTCAAAACTATGGGCACACGGGCGCTCGGCCATCTTGAACGCTGATCAAAAATGTGCATGAGCACTCCTCGCTTCTTCTGAAACGCTACAGAGTGTTTTCCACGGGTATGGAGTCTTCTATGTACTTGAAAAAACTTTTAATGGCATTTCAGAATTGAAGTGTGCCCGCGCACAAGTTTGATCGGCGCTCAAGGCGCGTGAGCGCCCATAACTTTGACTTCAAGCCAAATAAAGTCTCCCCCACCCTAGACAGCATACCAAATTAGGATACAACTTGGAGTTGGACGCCGCCAGGTCATTTCTCAACGCGTGAGCCCTCACGCGCTGAATATTCGTCTGCTTCGTCCTTCAGCTAGCGTCCACTACGGTGGATCGAACGCCTTTTCATCGAAACACGTTTAAGAGAAAGGGCGGGTTTTATCGAAGCTCTGTTTAGAGAAAGCGGAGACGCAGTTTAGAGAAACGCCGTTTATCGAAAAGGGGACTCTGTTTACCGAATCCGTTCGGTCGGCGTACGCAAATCTCGAAGCCGCTAAGGGCTAGCGCATGATTCACTTAGGTGTGCTTACCCAAGCCTTGCCAACACCTCCTAGATAACAAAGCCGTAGTGCTAATCAGGCACGTGGCCAGGATTTTGTTTCGGGGGAGGGGGGGGGGCTCGCCCATGGCAAAATGCTGTATGAGGGGGAGGGGGGAGAGGAGGCGCCAGCAAAATGGAAGTTTTTTTTTTGGGTTGGGGGGGGGGGGGGAGGGTTGGGCCCCACGCCCCCCCCCCCCCCCCCCCCTCCGCCTCCCCGCCCCGTGGCTACGTGCCTGGTGCTAATAGAGATGTCATCAGCGAAGGCAACGTTGGCCAGACTGGGCATGACGATTACGTCAACGTTCGGCTCAAACTTGATTCGAAGCCGAGGGCAGACGTAGCACTTGTTTCCAACAGGTGTTCAGCGTTGGCCTTTGCTGGTGACGCAACAATGTCAGCACTAAGGCCCTGTCTTCTAGGCGGTGTTGGCCTTGCACCCCCCCCTCCCCCCCCCCCCCTCCTCTCTCTCCTCCCGTAAACCAGGGGAGACGTTAAAAGTTTGACGTCGCCCAATCCCCCAAGCAACCGGCTCGCTGACTCGATAAAAGGAGGCCCGTCACCATTTTTTCTAAGCTGAGTTTCTCTACAAAAAGATTTTATAAACGGGGTATCTAACCCGGCTTTCGCTAAAATGCGCTTCGGTGAAATGCAGGAAGCATCCTCTTCATCACTAGACAAGGGGTTGATCTCTCTAATATGAGCGTATACAGAGGACAGCGTTTTCTTGGATCTAGCTCCGAGAGACCGTGGCCCGATAGATCTGCGAAACACGCTTCCGTCCAGGTATCCGTACCAGGAGCAGAAAGACGACAAGCTGTACCCGTGCCAGCTGGACAAGTACAACGGCGTCCAGGCGCCCAAGACGTGCTGCGACCCGTACGGCAACGCGTTGCTCCCCGAGCGCCAGCTGGGCTTCGGCCTGTCGGACTGCCTGCTGCGGCCGGCTGCCAAGGCGGCCCCCAAGGAAGACGTGGCGGCCACGCGCCAGAGCGTGCTCATGTGGGGCGCCCCGGCCGCCGGCGCTTCTTCGGCGGACCCCGGCTGCAAGTGGAGCACGCTGGCCGCGGCCTCGGCGCCCAAGACCTCGTCGCCGCACAACAGCTCCAGTCCCGTGGGCGCCAGGGTGGCGCCGACGCCCTACGCACCCGCGCCCGCCTACACGCACGAGATGGTGCCGGAGGTGGGTGGCACTCCGAGAAGGAGTCTTCCAGGCGGGGAGCCAACTTCTGTTTACTTCCTGCACCCTAGTGCATGTATATACACCCGCCGGCAATATGAAGGTGAACACCTTATCTGGTTTCTTGCCTGTTTTACGGCTCCCTTAAGCTATATTAACTCTCAACGTCTCAAATGGTACGTGACTTGGGGTCTAAACTTTGCGTTCTAGCCCCCCTCTGGAACAGAGCTCGTTCCAAAACTTGCAGGTGCGTCAAAAACAAGAAGAGGGCTGTTCACCTTCATGTCGCTCACGGGTGTATCATCGGGTTCAAATGAAATGCGAACAGTGACGAACTTCCAGCCCACTACCGGCGCAGCTACCAAGCTTGGTGAGGTTTAAACACATCGGAGTTAAAACGCACAACCTTGCGGCGCCCTGCTCCAATGTGTTTGAACCTCGCCAAGCCCAACCCAAGCCTGGAGGCTGCGGCGGTAGTGGGCTCGAAGTTCCATCACTGTTCCCCTTTCGTTAGAACCCGAGCGACACTCGTGATTTTGTGTTCAGTTGTTTTCAAAATCAGTGCAGAAATCGTTTACATTCGCATGAGATGAGAAGTTGCTGATAGTTCTTCAATCTTACATTGAAAATTGGAGGGGCAAAAATACAGGACGCAGTCTTTGTAGATCAGTTCCAGACATCTCCCTACATGCGCTCCTGGCCAGCAACGAAATTGTCCGTCGGTGCATTGCGAAACATACCTTGGTTGGTTGCCACGAGATCACGCGCTATATAGCACGCCAACTTGTGGCAACAGGTCTCAAAGTACAGCACTTTAAAACCTGTCGTATGATACGTTGCTACTTGTAAGACGTAGGTCTTGCGGCTTCCAACTTAGCAGAGAAACAAAATACATGAAATACTACCCAGAATATATTTGTTTGTTTTTAAAATTTAGGGGCATTCTGAATTCAATGGACATAATTTCATGCTATTTATCTTCAATATTTCCGCTGTAAAAAAAAAAAAAATGAAAGCCGTTTACAATTCCCTGCAATGCCGAATTAGAGCACTCCTCTTAAGGAGGAGGAGGGAAGGGTACTGAGGGGAGGGTACATTCTTCCTCCCTCCTCCTCATCCTCCCTGCTACTCCACCTCCCCTCCTCCTCCTCCCCTCTCCCTCGTCGTCCTCCCCCTCCTCCTCCTCCTCCACGCGCGTTGCATTATGGGACATTTTTCATAATGCACCACGCGGTTACGCCGACGGCGACGGCGACGCCGGTCAAGTGGGAAACGGGCGCCTAAGAGCTGCGCTCTAAAAAAATAAGCCAAAGTCCAGATCATACATCCCGCGTTTAATGATGCCTCAGTGAAGAAAGATATATGAATAAGAGCTTATTCGGTATTTTCGTTTGAGGTTTGTAAACTTCTTTGTGCAAAGCTTTTTTTTTTTTTTTTCTCTCTCTTTGATGAATACAATTATGTTTTGTTGATGCGGACCTCAGGAATATGAATACCCGGCTATGTAGACACCATTTCCGGGGAGGAGCTGGGTGAATAAATGCCTGCATTTTAATCTTGTTCTTACGAACAGCTCACATTACGGGCGCCTTTTGGGGGGACAAGGGTGCCCATATCAACGGGACGTCGTCGTATATGAAATAAATAAGAAATGTGAAAGAACGGCCGGAGCCACTTTGGTCCCGGGAGGGCCCGTGGATTTCCCCAGAAATCCCTCCCCTGGCCTGCAATGGGATTGGTACAGAGCACTTCTGTCGCGCTCCTTTTATGGGCGTCCATTCGCGCGCCACCGCGTGATTGGCTGATCCGACATAAAAACGTGACAACTAGGCAAGCCCCGTCGATTGGACGGTTCCATCGGAGTTCGCGACTCGGATGAATAACCACTCAAAATAGCCTACAAAAAAAAAAAAGAAAAAAAAAAGGGAAGGGCGAAGAAAGGTGGGTTTTAGTTCGGGGGACAAAAATCGGGGGACAGCGATCTCGCTTTTTTTCCCCAGGCCGATAGAATAACTGCGCGAAAGGAAACGCCGCAGCGGGGATGGGATACGTTGAACCGCCTGCTTACTGCTGCCTTCTTTTTTTTTTTTTTTTTTCTCTTTTTTTCGTGGGTAGGTTGGCGAGAACAATGCCGAAGCCCCGCACTCAGCGCGGGGCATCCCGCAGAATGCGGTAGGGTGCCGCAATTCAGGGCACCCAAAGCTCCGCGCTGCTGGCCGATGAACGTGTCGGGGTTTTTTTTTTTTTTCCACTCCTACCGATGCGATTTCGATCGTGTCACTTCGAAATGAATCTCAACGTTCCGTTCTGTGATTCCAAGACATACACGCGTGCGAGTGCAGTGATGCGGTTGCTGCGCCATTGGCGCCAAACTGCGCCGAAGTGCTTAGCCTGCTACGTCCTACTACGTTTACCAAAATGTGAGTGCGTTGCGCCAACATTGCGCCAAAACTTAATTTTCACTTTAATAATACTGAACATATAACAGCTCGCGTCTGCCTGCCGGGCCGGATCGCTACGATAGGCTTGTGCGAGTTTTCAGAACTTTCGATCCTCATTGCCTCGAATAGCGTGCTGTTCGATTAGATCGCCTGTATGTAACACTCACGGTGCCGGGAAGTTTCGGAATATTTCTCAGTCCGTGGTCCGTTCTGGCCAGTCTTTAGCTTCGTTGAGTCTGTTTCTCACCGCGCACTGGAGTATTGCGAGGAAGCAACAACCGTGGAGTAGAGATCACGATTTTGGTGTGTCTCGCTTCGCCGCAGCGCACCCACGTGCCAAGGGGAAAGCGCTCTTCCAGACCAGGACGTGGCGCACACGCGCTGAGTAAAACCGTGATTAGTGTACATGATAAACTGCGATATCATGGCGATATCTTCGTTATAATTTGAATTTAGCAAGGATGCTGCGATATTGCAATATATTCATATAAACTGCTATCTGGTTTCTTTTTATTCAAACTTTTGTTTAATTATCACTTTCATGTAGGTGGGAGTAAATTAAAACTAAATTAGCTGGTGAAGTGGATGGAACCACGGGAGAACCTAGACGACTTCGGTGAGACTGTTTTTAAGAAGTCATATCATGCCGATTTTGGTTAAGAAGCTCTACATATAAAATGTAACGGGCGTGCATAATCAAATGACAAGAGATTTTTTTTTTTTGCTTTTTCTTTTAATCTGACTTGAGTTAATTTTATTAGTACCCATAGAACTTGAACAAAACGTAAATTGCTCGACATATATTGAATACTAACATTATAAATAATGGGATTCCGTACCTAAAATATTTATTCACAGCGGTTCGCGCTGTCCTTCATCCATCATCATCTTGTTACCGTGTCTGGTGCTAGAACACGTAACTAAACGGCGAGTTCTGTGTTTGAGGGAATCACTGCTGCTGTACAGTCGATACTAACAAAATGCGGCACACAAGTAAGAAGGCAAAGTAGACATTGCATTTTAGTTGGACGGGCCAACACCTGAATATCAACATAATATTTGCGGTGGTACGAATGAAAACAAAGTGCGCGCTTACGCCCCAAAAAGGGACTCGTGACTGCTAAAATGGTGCTCCAAAATGTCTCGGTTCAATCACACCACGCGAGTGCTGTAGGCAATATAGAGCGCCCAGATTTTAATCGGAACAAATACGTAATATCCCGAGTCATCGCCCATCCCCGAGTCATCGCCCACCCCACTTTTTGGTCCAATATCGATTTCCAAAAAAAAAGCACCGAGTCATGGCCCACCCCTTGAAATACCCCAACGCTGACTCTGCGATCCGCGGACATTCATCCTACCCGAACGACGCGCCCGCGGAGTTTACAGTTGGAGGACATTCGTGACTAAGTAAAACGGAGTGAAATACACATCTCTTTTTTTACGCATTTCCTCCGCGAGCGACCTCGAAATCGTAGAGTATCCGTACGAAAAGAAAACGATGGAGATAACAAAATAAAAATTTGTGTTGCTTACAAAAAAAAAAAAAAAAACGGAAAGATAACCCATTCAGGGATCGCGAGGTAAGCGAACGCCCCATATCCTGGAATGTAACCGAGGAGTGTAAGGTCAAAGTCTGTCGCCGCCGAAGTAAGGTCGCCGCGAACCCGCTTCTTCTCCCGGCACGTCGCGACGGCGATTTTGCAATGTTTAAGACAAAGCCATCGGGTGAATAAAGTTATGTTGGAACGACGCACACAGACGTTTGTAAAGCGTCCCATGTCGAGCTCCGCGTTCGTGGTGCCGTCCACGCCACGCAGCAACGCCGCCTTAACCCGCGTTGATAGCAGGCCGCGCACGAACGCACGCATGTATGCACCAAACAGGAAAGTTGCGCAAGAGCTTGCGATTGACAAGGCGCCCGGCTTGGCCTGACGCCAAAGTATTTGCCAACGCGATCGCCGGCTTTTCCAGCATAGCTCTTCGTCACTTCTTTGGTCCACTCGCTCGTTGTGCCTGGTTGGTTTTTCTGTTTTCTTGTAAACTTTTCTTTTTTTAAACAAACGTGAAGAACTTAGCGGTGTAACGTGTTTTCACGGAACAAACGTTCGCGCTGTATGCCAATCGGCGGTGTTCATGGCGCGTATGCAAGGAACGAACTTCGCGATAGTAAAACATTCTTTCATGGGCATTTTTTTTTTGTATAAAACAATAAAACTAATTCGAGTTTTGAGTTTAATGTACCTCTTCTGCAGCCGCGCTAGATACGCACAAAAAATAGGCGTTCCCCCCCCCCCCCCCCCCCGACTTTTTTACTTTTTGTGTTCACCCACAGAGCCATATGGCCCTTCTGACTTTTTTTATGAATTTCAGGCGGCAGGGTGGTGGGCGATGACTCGGGATATTACGGTAATTCCCTGTCTGCCGCGTAAAAAAAAAAAAAAGAAAAAGAATTGGGGTGTGTGTATAATAAATAATTTGAGCCTACTATAAGCGGTGCCATTCGCGCAAAGCTGAAACGCAAGCGCGCACGCGCGCACGAACGTTCACGCTCGTGTTCCTCGGTGAGCGGTCGGCAGTGCTCTCCCTTGGCGCCGCGTGAATGCGCAGCAGCGTGGATTGCGCGACGCGCACGCATTTTGCACCAGGCATATACACGTTGCTGAAATGGAGCAGCTAAATACCGCTAGTCGTTACTCACTCGAAAAGTAACGAAGTACGTTACTCGTTACCGCGATTCAAAAAGGAACACCTCACCTCAGCTTGAAAATAACGCGTTATTAGAGCGCAGCTCTGAGGCGCCCGTTTCCGGCTTGAGCGGCGTCGCCGTAAAGGCGCGGCGCATTATGGGACGCGTGACATTACTGGTGAAGACACTGATGACGTCATCAGTGACATAATTTGTCTCTCTTTTCTTTCAATGTGTCGTTTCGTCGATAATTCTGTCGCACCTTCGAAGTGCTCCCCTGGCTCGACAACTTTCTTGGTGACGTTGAGTTCGTAGGGTGCAACCTGTCACGTCTGCTAACAGCGGCTTTCACGGGTTCAGACAGAAGTTCTCAGTGGTTAAACTATGAATGACAAGCCGGTATATGATGACAGGTTATGACTGACGACGGATCATAACTTGGAAGCTATTGTCGTCCCTTCTATATGTCGAGACGTCGCCGAGACATCCATCGAGCACTCCGTCCTTAAAACTATCAGAGGTAATATCGCTGGTGATGTTTCCTTCAAACAAAGCGGGAGTTGGGATAAGCCTGCTCGTCGGAGCGATGTGGAGATCGTTCAACGGTGAAGCACGCCACTCATCTTCCAACACCGGTTTGGAAGCCATATCAACCACCCTAAGATGGACCTTTCAGAAACCGATAAGCACGATCCGCGACGTGGCTAGCTAACGGAGCCGTGAATCGTGCTATTGGCGACTTCAGCAAAATCGATGCCGCGTAGCGGCAACGCCGAGAAGCTCAAGAGAGGAGGTCGTTTCAACTCTGTTGTCGGCTATCGCTGATTGGTTTTTGTAGACAGCATAGAAAAATTGTTTCCAGTAATTATTTTTATGCTTCCGCCGTGTCATTTTTACGCAATGACTAGAAGGTATGTGCCGTCGAAAAATCGCTTGGCTTTCATATGGGACACCGATTTTATGCTGCAGTGCAAGAAATTGATGGTGGTACGCATGCTGAACGACGAAAACGACCTCATTTCGTCCGCCATTTCGCCTGACCAGCGCATTCCCCATAGTTCGCTCGAATCACGAATACCTCGAGCTGTCCAATGATGCGACCCAATGCCTAGTAGGGCAGGGCGTCAAATAATAAAAAAGAATAACCCCATTAATCGACACCCTTTAATCGATTTCGTACATTTTATACATAATATATTTTATGTAAAAATTAAATTGTTTTCCTTTTGCTGAAAATGTGATAAACGGTGCAATGTACACCTTCAGATTTTAAGTCAACCTTGACATGCGGTTGAAAACAGTCAAATAACACTCACATTCGGAGATTATTATTTCAGACGCGGAGGCAAAGAGGTTTGTTGATACCACTCCGGCAATAGCAAACTCCTTTGATTGTTCACAATAGCGAGTTTTAGTAGGCCGTGTTTCCCCCTCCGCTAAGCCCCTCCGCTACCCGGAACTCTACAGCCAAGGCCGTCGGCACGCAGGCGCAGTGGCGGTTTCTTCGTAGCGGAGAGGGAAACACGGTCTACTAAAACTCCCTAATAGATTCTGCTGCGCTAAACGGACACTCGCATGGCGTTGAAGTAGCCAGGACACGTATAACCTTCCCAACTCGTTTGGAGTTACAAATCTCGCCCCTACAATTTACTTTTAGGTCAAAATTTTACTTAAAATTTGCCTTTATACAGGTGCACTCATCCACGTCTCCTTAGTGAAGGCGTTGACTTTTTACTTTTCTTTTTGTCTGTCAAAATTTAACCGATTAACCGGTTTAAAAAAAAAATCAGTCGCGATCAAAGCATTAATTGATTAATCGGTAGGTTAATCGACCAAATTCCAGCCCTAGTGCTGGAATTTGGTCGATGTCGGCACATGTCGGCACGTTCACTGGAGACAGTGAACGTGCCGACATGTGTGCGTTCAGTGAGCCACGCTTTGCCCCCCATGTACACTAACGAGGCACACTCTGAGCGAACCAAGTGGCAGCATCGAAGCCTGCCTTGGGAAGCAATCTGCTCAAAATCCTTCCAGTGGAAGATGACGAGGCGGACGCCAGGATGTGGCTACGAAAGGAGCGTATGATCCTCGAAGAGCACAGAGCCCCAACCGCAGATGACAACAGACACTCGGAACTGAAGATTAAACGCTACTGGTCTAGTGTAGAACGCACAAGGGACCTGGAGTGGGCAGGGCACTGCAGGAGGAAAAAAAACTTTGCTGTGGACGGCCACTGGCAACGACAGTGCTAGAAAGAACCGGACGACCTCAAAGTGGCCTCGGGACATGCCGACTCTTTGGAAACATTTTGAAAGTGCGATTTCCTAGTTTTCTTAGCGTGTTCACAGGAAGGATGATGAATATTTAATGCCAAATAGCAGCAACAAAGGATTGCGGTTTGCCTCTAGAGGAAGAGGACAGGTGGGGCAAGGGCGAGCTAGATTAGTTCCCACCCGGCGCGAGCAGCCGGGTAGGAACTGCGTATTAGAATAGTCTAGTAATCGGAGAGGAATATCAAGGCCGCTTGTATGCACGGCGGCATTCCAGAGAAAATTGTGCAATGCCGCAAAGAAGAAGTGCATGGATGAAGTCATTTATATACACATTTGCAGGTACAGCCTCCGGGCGTCGCCATCTTGTTGGCTTGGGGTGCACTTGGGCGCAGCCATAATCCGATTATGACGCCTGGGTGTCGAAAGTGGAGCTTACACTGTAAAATGAGCTGGAAAAATCGGCGCCTGCACGTAGAAAGCTCAAACTTTCATCGAATGTGCAGTAAGCAAGTAAATTTTATTCTCTGGAATTTCAAGGCGCAGCTCTTTATCTATAGACGTTTTCTGTGTACTCTCGTCCCCAGCCACTTATTAGGCGTATCCGGTATGGGCGACAAAAAAATACTGAAACGTTTCAACCTGCAACTAGTAAAAAAATAAGGGGAGGCAAAACGAGAATCTGTGACATTTACGCTTATATCCTAAGTGTCTTCTACAGGCGTGGCGACGGCAAAACAATGTTTTCGCCCATACTGGAATTGACGACAATTCAAGATGACGGCGCTCATGAAGAAAGGGTCTATAAAAAATTTAGACCAAAAAACCTGCCAAAGTCAAGGTTCAATGCGTTCGCAGTCGACCGGGTTAGCGACGCTATTTACATGTGGCGCCATCTCCCAGTAAGCACAGCGAGCAAACAGAGTGCGTCGTCTGCTCGCTGCGGCTATCGGGAGATGGCGCCACAAGAAAAATAGTGTCGCTAACTCGGTCGTCTGCAAATGCGCCCAACCTTGACCTTTCTAAGCAGTGAGAGAGTGCAGGCGAGCTGGTAATTAATCGACATCTTGTAAACCCTGAGATGGGGAACGATAAAAAAAAAATGAACAAAAACAAAATCTCAAACGCAGCTTGAACTGCGTTTAAAATTTTGTTGTGTTCGTCCGTCTTTTTTTTTTTTTTTTAATCGTTTTTCATTTTAGGGTTTACAGGATGTAGACTTTTTCAAGATATTTGGTCTAGGTATTTTTTTTTTCAGGAAGAGAAGAGTGCACATTCAGTGAAAGTTTGAGCATTATATGTGCAGTCACAGATTTTTCAGGCTCCTTTTGCAGAGGGAGGTTCGATTGGGACGCCCTATACGTTCACAATTCTTTTGCCACATTGCATATCATTCCCATAGCAAACACCCATTCAAGTGCTATCAAACTTTCACTGCATTTAGCAGAATGCCTAAGCCAGGCTATTTTTTTCTCTGTTCACTTTAGATTTAGACGTTACGAATTCTCTTTCTGCGCGTCTTACAAAAATACTTTTCCGAGCTACTTGAAGTATTAAAAGCTGACAGTGCAATTTACGCTGTTTCCTGGTCTCGGTCTTGCAGGGTTGGCAAATGGAAGCCATGGCTCCTTGGAGACCCCATCTGCGTAAGTTCCTAAATCAAACACCTTAATTGTATGTCGCGTTTCGAAAAATTTGCACCCCTACAGTCAGTGGCGTAGCCAGAAATTATTTTCCGGGGGGGTGGGCTTTTCCTATCTTTGCGTGTAGAAGTCGATGTACTGTACAAATCACGGGTACAGACATGGCCGTCCCCAATTCCCCGGCTAGCTGGAACAATTCAGTAGTCCTTCAATAATTGTCTCCCTTTACTAAAAAAAAAAAAAAGATTTTTGGGGTGGGGGGGGGGGGGGGGGTTGACCCCCCAAATTACCCCCAGGCCTACAGTGCTCTCAGCTTGCCATAATTGGTGGATTCCTCCTCTCCAGCATTCACCCTGCTAAAGTAGGGAAGGGCTTTGTGGGAAAAGTTTGTCCTGCTCTAAACCTGCAACAGACAATCAATATCGGTAATGGGAAGGCCCCATCTGGTGGCAATTGCAAACCCTGTCAAGAAATAAGTTACTTTGTTGCAGGGAAAAAAAATTCCAGATACAAATGAGCTAGAATATCTAGAGAGCCAACAGCTTTTTAGATAATTTGTTGGCTTAGAGGAGAACAAGTTTTATTTAGAGGTCTGAAATATTTTAATTTGAGGAAACCAGTCATAGAAATTTAACCTGTCTGGAAATTAGTATGCATTATTTCTTGAGCAACAGCTACCACAATAAGCCTTTAAATTTTTGGCAATTGCCCCAAAATCCTTCTAGTTCCAATAACCACAGCAAACTGCTCTTTGATTGCAGCGGCCCTCAGCTAGGAAGGAGCATTTCAACTCGTCGGTGAGCTTAGGACTCCACAAAGCACGATGGATGCCATCGAAGTCAACGAAAATGGACCTTTGTGAAACAGTCGAAGGGCACCGCCTCCTGTCGGACAAAATGTGCAACGCAGCAACGCCCCAAACGACGGACTACTCTCGAGCCAGCTTCCAAGGGCTCCGTCGCTTCGCAACAGCGGACTCGCATCTTCGTGTGTGTGTGTGCCTGTGTTGACAGTGAAGTGTGCAACTGTGTGTGCATGTGTCTGTAGTGTGTGCAGTTCGTGGAAGCAAGTGGACCACTCTGCTTCAGGCATGTGATGGACAAAACGTGGCATCTTAGGAAAAACTGCACCGCTCCATTCCTCAAACGTCTCACTAAACCCAGGTTTAGACCACGAAACCCCGGAAACAAATGCCTTGCCCTTTCATCCCCGACTCTTTCCGCTACAAATAGACAAAATACCTGCTTTAGAAAGATACATTGGTTTACCGAGCCTCCCAAGAGGTGAAGCTTAATAACATTGTTGAGTAATCATTGGATGTCAAGCAACCGTACGGTATTTCTCCGAGGGCAGAAAAGGCAGGTGTAATTTCATTCGAGATTCTGTGGTTTGAACATTTCCTTTGAAGAGGAGTTTCTGCAGATTCCAGATCCCCTAGTCATTCCAACTGCAAAACTGGAGTGCTCAGATTTCCAATGAGAAAGTGTTCGAAGCATGCTAGAGCCCTTTTGTTACTTTACGTTTTGTTTTATGCTACATTAGCAACACGTTCGCCCCAAGGCACATCGTTTCGGTGCACTTCAGACCCAAGGAAGTCAAGTTTTCATTACATTCAACAGATTGGTGACCAAGCTGCCGAGAAAAATGTGGGTAAGATTAGTTTCAACTCTGCACTCAACAATCGAGGCAATGTGATTTCCACAACTGAGGAAGGATCTCGTACTGTCTATGAAAAAGGAATGAGTTTGATGTTCACACAATGATTTGAAAGGAAAGATGTCCACAAGTTTAAAACAATGCCCCAAATATAGGCAAAAATCTTATCCTTAATAAATGACAGGGTGCAGAATGTGATTTGTAACTACTGAAACATTCTATGGAGTATTTATTCTGTGTAAATACCAATCCATCACAACATTCGTGGCGATGTGATTGTTGCCCACTGAAATGGAAAATGTTGAGGGGACGAGACTCTTGCCTGTGCAACCAAAGGAGTGTTTTGCTTTGCTTGTGTCAAAAAAACATTAAATCAAGAATGCAATTTTTCTGAAAGCAATGGTATAAATGAAATAAATTTCTCTCAACATGCGCCTCATTGTGTCACTGGACTATGAACTACTTATAAAAGCAGTGAGGTGAACAAAATTGGAACTGCCACCTTACTTATGAAAGTAAAATTTATAACAAAAATTGTGTTTCAGGACTTTGGTGTGATAAACCTAGAACAGGCGAGGGCTTATAGACGGCAGACGACCTCTGAAGACGCTTTCATCTGTGAAAAATAGTTCCTGTAAAGTACAGTATAGACCACTTACAACGTAACCGCTTATAGTGCAGGACCGGGTATAACGCGGTTTTTTTAAACCACCGGTTCGCCTCCCATAGAACTCCATGTAATTGCGTACCGCTTAAAATGCAGGCGCGCGATGGGAAATACCGGTTATAGTGCGGTTTCTGGCACAGCCCGCCGACCGCGCCGACGACCGGAGCAGCGAGCACGCTTCCCTGTGTGACACCAGATAACGGCGCTGACGGCGCGAGACGAGCCGCAAGGCGCAAGGCCGCAAGCGGCACACGCGGGGCAAGGAGGTTGCTGGAAGAAGCGGGGGAAGCGAAGAGAGAAACTTCAGTTGCCATAGCGACGGAGGGACGCACGCATGTATCGTTCACGCAGTTCACGTGCGTGCGTCCCTCCGCTGCGTTGGTCGAGAAGTGTTCGCGCGCGTTGCATGCCGGTCGCGCAGCTGCTTCTATCCGCGAACATGGCGTCGGTTGTGATCGTCGATGTAGACGGCGTTCATCTCATCGCGTAAAAGCGCTATCCTTGACTGTGAATTTTCGTTGTGTGTCGCTATGATAACCCAGCACGTACTAGACGGGAAGATCCACCTACTCGTGCGACGATGTCGTGGCGGCGCTCTCAAGACGGCAGAAACGCCCGTGTCGTCGTGTTTGTTTACTTCGACTACAGTGGTGATTTCTAAGCATTTGTGTCCTCGAACATCGCCCGGATTTCTCATTTGGCGCATTTCATGCGTGTGCTCAAGTTAAAGGTATTACTGGCGCGTACCATATGAAGGATGCGAATTTTCACGCGTTTTCGTCTCCGGAGAAAAGTGATTAGGGTTAGCAATCCTGAACGCTCGCTACGTCCGTCCGCAACCCGCAACGCCGTTAAAAGGCTGCGCCAGGCAAAAACCGCTCATTTCTTTCAAAATGTGTGACACACTTGAGACAGAACTGTACTAGTCTGGTGAAATAAAGACTCTCCTCAAAGTAAGCTTTATTTTTCATCTAGCATAAAATAAATTCTTTTACAAAGGTAAGTTGTCTCATGACATGTATTTTGGCCTGAAAAATTGATGTTTTGGTTATAGCGCGGTACCGCTTATAGTGCGGATTTTCGCGACTCCCGCGACATACGTTATATGCGGTCTACACTGTAATTACTAATGATGGGCCAAGCCTTTGCCGAATCCTGAAATTCAGCAAAGCCAAACTTTTTTAAAGATTCGGCGCAGAATTCAGCAAAAGTAATTATTGCCAGACCGAAACCAAGTTTGAGACGTCGTCCTGTCTGAAAGTAAAACTTGCCAGACTGGAATCGAGTTTGAGACATTGTCCTGTCTTTTTAGATGCGGAGCATCTCTTGCTCGGGTTTATGTCCCGCAGCGTCGTAGTCCGCACTCACACTACGCATGCGCAACTCTCCTCCTTCCCTCTCTCCAACAGCTGTGCGTTACTCTCTCCGCTCTCTCTCTCTACCAGCTGCATGCACTTCGCGTGCGTTCGCTTCTACTCACACCGCGCGCGCATGCGCAACTCTCCTCCTCTAGTCTCCTCTCCTTCAAGTGTGAATATAAGCAGCGGTAGCGCGCTGCGCGCGTTCAGTTCACTCGCTGTTGACTCCACTTCACTCCGTTGTTCCGATGAAGTGTGATGGAAGCAACAGTCCCGTCAGTTAGTGGGTTGGCGCAAGCAAGCGTCAGCACCACCCCACAAACTAACAGCAACGCTACGTCCACTGAAGACAAAGCTGCGCAGCGAAGGGCACACGACACTGAGCGCAAACGCTTGAAGCGAGCGGCAGACCCTGAACTACAGCAACGAGAAGCGGCGTCCATTCGTCAACGTCGAGCGCCGGATGCTGAACTACGATAACGTGAAGCTGCGGCGGTTCGAGAACGTCTAGCAGCAGAACCTGAGGTTCAGGACCGTGAAGTTCAACGTAAACGTACAAAGCGAGTGGCGGAACCTGACCTTCGAGAACGGGAAGCCGCGTTGGTTCGTGAACGTGAGCAGCAGAACCTGAGGTTCGGGACCGTGAAGTTCAACGTAAACGTACGAAGCAAGCGGCGGAACCCGACCTTCGAGAACGGGAAGCCGCGTGTAAACGTCAACAACGAGAGGCTGCTAATAACGATCCGCGATGCTCCGCATCACCCCATGGTTCCCCTCGGGAAGATGGTGTAATTTTCTAGTACCCGATGCCCACAGTACGCGCTCTCTAGAAACAAAATAGCCGATAACAAAATGCCGTCGTACAACTGTCAATGCCAAGAGCATATCGTGCCGAAAGGCGCGCTCCGGAACAAAAAAAAAAAAAAAGAAACAAAAGCGTTTGGAAAAAATGGGCAGGGCCCGTTTGCTCGAAGCGCTAACTGCGGCTAAAGTTAGCCGCAGTACATAGGAGAGGGATTTTGAAATCACGTGACTGGCTCGGAAGGGATGCGGGGAAACATGGCGGTGCCCCGGTGAGTGAGCGCCGCTCGTTTTGCAACGATATGTCGTGGTAGCTGCAATATCGGGAGCGTTAGTCAGCAATGAATACTGCAGGAGGCTTTCGCTTTGCCTTACCTCACTTAAATCGCAAAGCATGAGCAATGACCTCACGGGATTTTTTTTTGTCCCTTCTACGTTTTGATGTTTCTTCTCTACCCCGGTCTCACGTTAATTCAACATCGTTAATAGCCTGAAACGTTGATATTTTGTTTTTTCGGGTGAAAAAATGTAGGTTTTATTTAATGCATATTGACACAGTTCTTACTGAATAAGGTGGTATTCTACAAGATAATTATATCCGTGCCATTTTTGTATGTTTACTGGCAATTTTACAGTGACTTTTTCCAGAAGTGGTGAGACAATGAAGTTGGGTAGTAGCGGCCGCAGTCACGATACGGAAGTTTCGGTTTTGAGGCCTCCTCAGCGCAAGCCTGCAAGTGTGGACATTGTTGAAATAAAGGCGGTAACACTGTGCTCTTACTTTCCCAGCGAGTCACCGTTTCGTGCACGAAAATGAATGCAATGGCTGCTGAGCCTTCACCAGAAGAGGTAACAATATTATTGTAAATATGCATGTTCTTCGATTTGAGTCACTTGACGCCAGCTTTGCATGAAAGTGTGTGTCCCATATTCCCAAATCTCGTTTTTAACTTTTAGAATGCCGGTTTCTGATGTTAGGACACACGCAAACGTTTAGGGAGATGAGAAGATTTAGGGACATTGGATATGCAACGTCGCACATGATAGTTTTGTGTTTAGTTTCATGCGGATAAATGAAAACCGCGAAATAAGACTAATTCAAAAGCAATGCGCACAGCAAGGTGTCTGCTTCTTGCATAGGAGTTGCGGTGACGTCAGAACGACGCTGAGTTCAGATTGGCCTTGATTGGAGGGATAGCGGGTAGACCTCAATGTTAGATGCCTTGAGGACTACCCACTATTTTTCAATCAGCCAATAAGAGCTTTGGCGTTCTAACATCAGCGCAATCCGTGTGCACGAAGCAGACAAACTTGCGCTCCGCATATTATTTTGTTTTGGCACAAACTACTCGTGAATCGAAAAGAAGATTGCTAAATGGCGAGGAGTGCTTTAAAGGACTTGTCCAATCAATGTTACACTACCTCCTTGCATCACGGACAAGATTAAATGAAAATTACGCTTTCCAAAAGGTACCACGTCATTTGTCACTTGCGCAGTGGACTGCATCAACTCCTGGTCAATCTTTTGTTCTTGAGACAGAAGATGTTGAAGAGAACCACACTCACAAAGGCTGACAAACACACAGTTACCATGAAGCCTACTCCATACTTCGTTGTAACCGCTGGTAGTACTGCACTGTACAATGATAACGTGCACCGTCCATTTGCAAATCACGGCACCGTCACGTTCTTGTGCATGTGCCGCATCTTTGCCAGACTTCACTTAAAAAGTTTGGCATGTACCGAACTTCGGCGAATCTAAAGTTCGGTAGATTCGGTGCATCACTAGTAATTACCATTAGCTTGCTGATCTCTAAAGAATCAAACTGCCGATTTAGAATTCCAAATTGAGTTTTAAAATAAAAATTAACCGATTTAAGTAGTCGAACAAATTTGCAAGCTTGCCAAAGTGTAGCTGTATTAACCAGAACCAAATGGTGGTCCCCATGTCCATCCCATAAAATAATATACTGTCATTTCAAGTGAAAGAATTTGCCCCTTTACCACATTATGCTGGCAAAGACAGTGCTAACACATAATGTATTGTGCATCACCTCACACTGATGTTGCACAGATGAACCTGGTACTTGGAACTTGTCGTACGCACATGACAAAACAAATGATGGAGCGAGTACATTATAAGAGCTTGACTGCTGCACATGTTCAGAATGACCTAATGACAGGGCCTTTTAATCTGCCAGAAAATCCATTACAAACACAAAATAAAAGTCAACCACAAATCCAGTAACATACTTTACTTACAACCAGTGCAAAGGGAGACAAGGGCCTACTTTCTTTTTCTTTTTGTCTGCTTCTGCTTCTTCTCGGGCAGCTTGTCGGGCATCTGGGCTGCCCTCTTCTTGAGCACCACGGAGTCGGCGTTGATTGGGTCGATGACCTGGCCCAGCTTGGTCACCACCTTGGGGGCAGTCAGGTCCCTGAAGGCTGTCTCAGGGTTCCACGTGCTTCCCACGGGGTGGCTGATCGCCGCTTCGAACTGGCTAACATTGTTGAAGGGAAAGGGTAGCGAATTCACCTGAGGACAAAACCAAGACGGCCATTTGAGATACGCAAAACAGTATTGCAGTCGTTGAGCTTCGTAGGAAGCTCGACTGGATCGAGCCAAATCGTTACTATATATTGATATTCCATAATACAGGTGCCTCATACGCCTGTAGCAGCATGCTGGTGCCTACTAAGAGCTGTCTTTAGTGTGCAAAGATTTACTACGCAGATACGTGTTACGATATATGGAGGAAATCACACGTAACACCCCTACATAAACTAAGCTACTGTTATATAATAATATATACTTTATTATTATATAACAGTAACTGGCAGGTTTTTGATAGGCATAGATATAAATGTTAGCCCCATGCAACAAGCTACCGGTGTAACAAACATATCTTACAAGACTGGGGTTCCCAGCAGTTCCAGATTCTGTTGGAACTGTCCCTCGCTTTCACACAGAGTCCCGAGTCCCGACCTGTCCTTGTCGGGACAGCATTATGTCCCGGATCGGCTTAATTAGGGCCCAGTGAATTATTTTATGTGACTCGTGTATGCTACACAAACTTTGAACGGGCCAAGAAGCTAGAAAGAACGACGTCGGCGGAGCAGTGAATTGAAAGAGTAGACAGTTCTAGTATACCGTTGCTAGCTCTCACGCATGCAATACGCAAGACTAGTATAGCGTACGCTAAAAACTACCTGCTTGGAACAACTTTAGTTGCGCATTTCGTAAAGGTTGCAGAGTGAACATCCCGCATGGTGTTCTTCATTATATTTGCCAGAGCTGTAGAATTCCGCACGCTTACAGCGCCACCATGGTTCTCAAAAGTAATATTAAAAATTAAAATGTTTGCAACATTTTACTGTATATTAAGCCGAGCCGCAGCTGCCTGGTCAAGCACATTTTTTTGCGGGGTATGGAGGCGACGAGTATGCGTGCGTATCCAAATTCGATCAAGGAGCCTCTGTCAATCGTCCCGTGGAAACGGCACCTTTCGTCAATGCTATCACGCTAAGAAATCCATGGCCTACTGATGTCCAGTGCACGGTAACAAGGACGATTTTTGGAAGAATCGTTCGTCCATCAGCGACCAACTGCGCAAAGAGGCTTAGCGTTGAGCCGATCGCAGCGTTCACACATATTGCGAGCGATGAACATTTTCACTATGCACTCCTTCAGCTGCATGGCGATCTGACTCGACTGCGGCAGATCCCGGAAAGAATTGCCGAGTTGAACACCATGTAATTTCATGTAACACTGAACTTCGTGAACATTACATCGCCCATGCTGCACCAGTCGATGTAATGACCATTGTGGTATTTCCAAGAAATATTATAATTAAGAGACCAAACGAGAAGTGATGTATGGCTGGCTATCAGCCTCGGCTCGGGCTGCCCGAGCCCGTAGTCGTCGTCTTTATTCACCCGGTTCTCCGCACCTCGATACATAACACCTTTTCATTGCAATATGTGTAAGCGATACATCGCTCACACATATTGCGAGCGATGAACATTTTTACTATGCTCTCCTTCAGCTGCATTGTGATATGACTCGACTGCGGCAGATCCCGCAAAAGAATTGATGAGTTGAGCACCATGTAATTTCACGTAACACTGAACTTCGTGAACACTACGTCGCCCATGCTGCACCAGTCGAGGTAACAACCATCTTGAAACTGGTGCACCCGCTGGGCCCGAGATCTCTTAAGAGCTTCTTGCAAAGCTCGCCAGCCCGCAACGCAAAATCCCCAGTGTTGCGCACGTTCTATAGAGTTCTGCGCAAGCGCATTCCCGGCCTGCAATTCCTTCGGAGAACACAAACCTTTTGCATACGGTTCACTGAAACTGTTTAGTGATAATAACTGCTACAGCTTGCTCTACCTGGCTGGCTGCGGGGAGCTTTAGCCTTTAGCCGCCTTAGTATGCAAGCCATGGCAAGCCAGTTTGGGCGCGCCAGCAACTCTGGGTACTTGCGTGTCTTGCGTTAGCGCTAACAGTGCTGCTGCTGCTGCCCCCCTCTCCGGAGAGTGTCTTATAACACCATCAACATTTTATGACCCCTCCCCACCGTTTCCGAATTCCTTAATTCAAGAGTTGTTAGCACTGTAAAAGATAGATGTGTTCCCTACACAAAATGAGTTCGACTGTAGTACACATAAAGGCTGTCCCAACTGAGTACTGATTGCACACCTTTTGCAAGAAACAGTGAGGTCACTACCCTTCCTTGGTGTACCACAATTTAGACTGGGATCAAGCGTAGTCATGCAAGCAGTCTGCATGCGACTGCCACCTTCATAGAGGATTGCTGTAACCTGCTGCCTCTTCTTAACTCATAGCCACCTCTAGCCCGTGGCATGCTTAATTGGTAGGCATGCAGTAAAATATGTACTAATTGCAACTTTTGACAGTCAATCAGCCCCCACATTTAGTTCTCCAAAGCTTACTGAATCGAAACACAAATAAGAAAAAGTGATCAACTATGTTGTGACATCCCTTGCCTTTTCCTTAGGAAATTTATTTTTGCACAGCAAGTTTTCAGAAGACCAATAACTTATAGGGATGATGATGATGCACCTTTCTGGAGGCCTATCTGCACACCTGCCATAGTTCTAGCCAGGGCCGTACCCAGAAAAATATTTCGGGGGGGTTTTCGGGGACAACGGCGTCCATTTTGAAAATGTCTATTGTCTTATTTTCGCCTATGAATCATGTGCATCGGTGGCATATACAGTATAGACCACTTACAACGTAACCGCTTATAGTGCAGGACCGGGTATAACGCGGTTTTTTTAAACCACCGGTTCACCTCCCATAGAACTCCATGTAATTACATACCGCTTAAAATGCAGGCGCGCGAAGGGAAGTACCGGTTATAGTGCGGTTTCTGGCGCAGCCCGCCGGCCGCGCCGACGACCGGAGCAGCGAGCTCGCTTCCCTGCGCGACACCAGATAACGGCGCTGACGCAAGCTGACGGCGCGAGCCGCAAACTGCACTCGCGGGGCAAGGAGGTTGCTCGAAAACGCGGGAAGAAGCGAAGAGGGAGGCTTCAGTTGCCATAGTGACGGAGGGACGCACGCACGAGTCGTTCACGTGCGTGCGTCCCTCCGCTGGGTTGGAAACAAAGAAACAAACAACCGCAACGACAGACCAATCGCAGGTCGAGGAGAAGTGTTCGCGCGCGTTGCATCATGCATGCCGGTCGCGGGCCGGCCAGGCCGGCTGCTTCTATTCCGCAAACATTGCGTCGGTTGTGATCGTCGTCGTAGACGGCGTGCATCTCATCGTTCCGCGTAAAAGCGCTATCCTTGACTGTGAATTTTCGTTGTGTGTCGCTATGATAACCCAGCACGTACTAGAAGGGAAGATCCACCTACTCGTGCGGCGATGTCGTGGCGGCGCTCTCAAGACGGCAAAAACGCCCGTGTCGTCGTGTTTGTTTACTTCGACTACAGTGGTGATTTCTAAGCATTTGTGTCCTCGAACATCGCCCGGATTTCTTATTTGGCGCAATTCATGCGTGTGCTCAAGTTCAAGGTATTACTGGCGCGTACCGTATGAAGGATACGAATTTTCACGCGTTTTCATCTCCGGAGAAAAGTGATTAGGGTTAGCAATCCTGAACGCTCGCAACGTCCGTCCGCAACCCGCGACGCCGTTAAAAGGCCGCGCCAGGCAAAAGCCGCTAATTTCTTTTAAAATGTGTGACACACTTGAGACATAACTGTACTAGTCTATTGAAATAAAGACTTCCCTCAAACTAAGCTTATTTTTTCATCTAACATAAAATAAATTCTTTTACAAAGGTAAGTTGTCTCATGGCATGTATTTTGGCCTGAAAAATTGATGTTTTGGTTATAGTGCGGTACCGCTTATAGTGCGGATTTTCGCGACTCCCGAGACATACGTTATATGCGGTCTACACTGTAATGGAGAGTTATAGCAAACCGGAGAACCGGTCCCGATTTGGTACCCGGTAGCCGAACGGCGCCACTGCGCGTGCTCAGAGGTGGAGATTAAAATCGGCTGGCTGCAAGTGCACCGACCAGGGCCGTATGCAGAAAAAAATTTCGGGGGGGGGGGGGGGGGGGGTCAGAACCCCTAACCCCCCCCCTGGTTACGGCCCTGGTTCTAGCTAATGGGCATTGCATGGACATGAGTTTCACTGGAGTGGCTGTCACATTAATTCAATATAGAGGATCATGTCTGTGACCATCATGTTTGTGTATAGTCTATTGATTATATAACATAAGGAGTTTTGCACTTTGAAAGGTTCACCACTAGGCATGTGCAAAAAAGAGGACTTTAAGTTTGAAGCAAACAGTGTTTTTGGCCAAATATTTTCTAATCTAATATCAAATAGTTTCTCCAAGCATTCTACTACCGTAGGCCATGCTTAAACAAAAATTTAGCTGAACTCATGAAGGTTGTTCCCGACCTACCACTTGTCCACTTCTAAGCTCAATTAATTAAAAAAAAATGTATGGCAAATTACTACGCAATTGTGTTGCAAACGTAAAACATTCTAGCATCACCAACGTTTAGCAAAGTTCGCTTAGCAGCACGTCTAGCCTGCTTAAACAGATGCCTACGTTTATGGCGCTCTTCATGAGATAATTTAACACGTGGCATGTGTGCAGTTAAAATGATAAACCCGGTGGTCTTTCAGAGCCTTCCAACCCACTCCTCCTCTCCCACCTCGCCTCCTTACTCCACCCCTGGTCACATGATCTCCCTGTTAACCAATCAGCGTCGAGCACCTCACTCCTCCTCCCCCACCCGGCAACCAATCAGAGTCGAGCCTCGCGGCCATGCTTTTTTCTAGGCTCCACTTTTGGGCTCAACGAAATGCCAAACACCAGGCCAAAAAATGTTTCACGTTAATATGACTATATTTATGAACTGTGGCATTTGAACAACGAATTTGTTGCCGCTACTCTAGCTGAGGGGATTTATAAATCTGTTAGTTATATCCAAATATTATTGCTTCAATTTAAAATTCAACAGAAAAAATACAAGCCCGAATGATGAATGCGGGTTATCAAGACGTCGCTGCGTAACATACCAAAACACTTGCATAATCATGGCGGGTTAAACCCGTTGAGTGCGCTTCTTATCAAGCACCTGTGCACAGCGGGTGAGCAACGCCCGCGAGCTCCGCGGACGTTGCTTACCCGCAGTGCACAAGTGCTTGGTGAGAAGCGCACTCAAAGGAGCCAACCCGCCACGATCAACAGTTTGAAAAGTATGAATTTAGCAGTTCATCTCAAAACGAATATTGAATAACATATTATTCGGAACTGCTATTCGAATATTTGCAAAAGCCTATTCATCACGAAACAAAAACAAGAAACTATTTGCATGTGCAGCCTTTAAAGCCTCTACAGGTGCTGGCATTTGTTCAGACACCAGTTTGGCCACTCACGCTTAGATACACAAGGGTAGCTAGCTAAGGGAAGCCACCCAACTGGTCTGTGGCTTTTTCTGTCCTTGGCATAGAGGAGGGAATGGATGTCAGATTTTGATTGTGAATTTCATATAGAAGCGATACATGCACGTAAATAATTAATGATTTCGTTTCAAGAAGATAAACCATACAAACAATGGAGCACCTTTATGGGTACACTGGTGATTTTTTAAGTTACCACAACAAACTATATTCTTGGAATCACTGGCCTTTACCCTTTCAGCCATTGTATTTAGTATAGCTAAATTCAGAATAGTTATTGGGAAATCGGCAAGTGAAAATGATGCCGAAACCAACATTCAAATATACCCGCATATTTTAGTGCCATGACAGAAGGGGAAGGCAGGCTTGCAGGTCGGGCGAGCAGTCTAATAATAGACTATGCCGAGCATTTGTTTCCTGCAGCTGCGCGGGTACTGGAGCGAGCTTCCAAAAGCATTTATTTGACACCATGAAACTGCTTGTAATCAGTTGCATACCTGCCAATCTGTGAACTTTCAAATTCGTAAAACTCCCGCCGCCGCCGGGGAAGGGGAGGGGTATGTTTACGACAAGTGATGTGCAGCTTAATGTCAGCCTTGCCACGGTGCGAAATGCTTATATCACACGTGCATGTGTTACAAATACCAAACTTCTCTCCCTTTATATACGGCACGAGGCACGGGAATTCCGACGTGTAGGACTTAATAAACACCTGAAAAAAACCTCTTTTGAGGTTTGGAGTTCGCCATTGCGCTGCGAAGCCACTGCGACCAGGGGAACGCTACGATTACATGTGAAACAAACACAGACGCCGCACCTCCCGCCTCGAAACTGGCCGAAACAGAGACGCCCAACCACGTCTGAACACGCCGAACCAACGTGCACCGCCGAACACACGAACAAAGGCTTTGGGCTTTGGATTGGTTTTCGATCCGTGGCCACCGGATAGACAGATAGTAAAAACCACGACGCTGCCGTGGACGGTACCTATCGCCCTCTTGGTGGTGCAAGATACCGCCAGTAACAATTATAAAAAAAAAAATGTTAATTTTTTTTTTATATATAATTTGTTTTTTTGTAAAATTTGAAGCAAGATTTGTAAAATTGTAAAATTAGTCCCAATTCGTACATTTTACGAAAAATTCGGAAGAGTTGGCAGGTATGCAGTTGGGAACAAAGTCTGAAGTCCAAAGAGTGAACCCCTGCCTTCCCCTGACGTCACTTTTTCATTGTTGCCAGTAGAGACTTTCACTTTAAAAAACAAGGCGACAACCGAAATTGTAAATTTTGGTTGTTGCCAAAAACATTTATTTTAGCCCCATATTTAGGTCACTATGCTTGTTGGTGCGTGTAGCAATTTTTCAGCAAATCGGGGACTACGAAGAAAAGGCCTGAGTAACCCTTTAAGAGCCTAGACTTGGCATTTGCCAGTGATATTTTTAAATAAATTGTTTTAGTCCAGCAACTGCAACAGAACCCAGAGGCAGAAAGTGACAATTACCTGGTGGCTAGCACACTTCTCATTGTTCTTCTCGTTAATAATCACATTCCCGAGTGTCCGGTCTTTCCTCGGAGGTGCCGGTGGGGGCTTCACCAAGAACCTGGGTGCAAAAATCAAAAGGCTCATACGTCTGGCGACAGGACTACAAAATATATTTTGCACTTGCATACAAGTTAGCTTCGCATCAATTGGTGTGGCTTCATGAAACCGCCAAACCTTTTCAATTCGGTAATTAATTTTGCTAGTGTCTATGCGACTTCCGGGAAAGCAGACAGCAACCAGTCTATAGGATGGTTCAAGTCACCAGGCTCGACCTAAAATGGACCGTAAAAATCGACGCCTGCACGTAGCAATCTAAACTTTTCGTCAAAGGTGTATATCACAGGTCAGTTTTTTCGGTAAAATTACAACGCATAGTTCTCTTTCGGTAAAAAATAAGGCCAAGAAACTTGCCAGGGTCTACGGCGGGCAACGACGCAGACGACAGGGGTTCAGTAGCTGGGTGTGTTTGGCATTCTTATTGATAGATGGCGCAACCTCCTTATCGCGACAGCTCACGACCACTGTGGTTTATTAAAATGAACATAATCTTTTTGAAATGTACCTTCGGTTAAAAAATAAATGCGGACAATAAAAGCAAAACTTAAAGTGAAAAAACGCGTCTACATAACGGCGGCGCTTTTGCTGCCAACGGATTTCGTCTGCGTATCGTCTGCTTTCTTTCGCTGGTAGGCTGCAGCTTCGGACGCTGCTCCCGACACCACCTATCAATACAAGCGCCAAACACACCCCGCTACTGAACCCCTGTCGTCTGCGTCACTGCCCGCCGTAGATCCTGGCAAGTTTCTTGGCCCTATTTTTTACTGAAAGAGAACTACGCTTTTTAATTTTGCAAGAAAAAACTGACCTGTGGTATACACCTTTGACAAAAAGTTTAGATTGCTATGTGCAGGCGTCGATTTTTACGGTCAATTTTAGATCCAGACTGGTGACTTGGACCACCCTATATATTCAGATTCTTGCTTTGATAGGGCGACTGATGCCTCACTAATGCAGTCTTCACTTTTACCCCCATTTCATATGTCTGGTGCACCCCTCTGCTTGTTCTATCTCGGTATTGAGCCAAAATTTTAATGTCATGCAACACAGGAGTGCAAGTGCATCTGCTGCAACAGATGGCGAGATGACCAGACCGGCTACCTCACGTAGCTGCAGCATGCTCGCGGGCACGGGTCAATGACGCATCTGCCCTTTACTGAACAAAATGCTAGCAGGATTTTTCGAGAACAGCCTCTACGCATGTTTTGGCAATGCTCCTTTCGACTAACTTAGAGTGAGCCGACCCGTATGGCCGGATAGCTTTTTGGGATCTCGGCTCATGAGCCCAACAGGTGTGGTCTTCCAGGAAATTAAATTTAATGCCTAAAGAATAGTAACTTCCCCTCAGTGGGAGCGAAGACAAGCAACATCTCAGATACGGCATCTCTCAAAGATACCTCAGCTGCCTCACTAAAAATAAGAAACTCATCTATGTCGGATCTAAAAATCCCGGTCTTGCCATCGTTCAGAAAAGTTTTGCGTGACAGATCGAAAAACTCCAAGAGGCGGGCTCTCCGCAAAGGTGTTTGACCAAGGCTGCCGAATGCTTGTTAAGAGGGGGCACAAAGGAACAGGTAAACTTGCTCACAAGAGGCCCAATGTGAGGCCGGCGGTCATTCCTTACTTACACTTAGTTTTACATAATTTAGAGAAAGTGGCCCAGCGTTTCAACGTTCCTGCGGTTTCCTCAGCTCACAATCGGATGGTTCGACTTTGGCATAAAATCAACACCCACCCAACAGCAGTCACAATACTAAATTTGCTGAGTGTGCCTTGGGAGTTGTGTATGAAATACCTTTCTTGCAGCACTGTGTACATTGGCCAGACGGGCAGATGCGTTAATGACCGTGCTCTTGAGCATGCGGCAGCTATGCGAGCTAGCCCGTCTGGTCATCTCGCCATTCATTGTAGCAGATGCGCTTGCACGCCAGTGTTGCATGACATTAAGACTTTGGCTCAATGCTGAGATAGAACAAGCAGAGAGGTGCACCAGGCATAGGAATTTCGGAATAGGGGTGTAAGATCGCACTAGTGAGGCATCGGACGCCTATCAAAGAAAGAATTTGAATATTTAAGACAAGCGTGGCACCGACATGTTGATGATTGTTGGGGGCCTATATGAGGCATGCACTTTCCGAATAAACAACAGTTGCGAGCGCACCTTGCATTGTAACTTTTCGTCTTAGTCCTTACCTTTTTTGAACACTTTTACATTTCAATACTAAGCATGCACCACTATTCATGCAAGTCTTCACTTACTGTAAATGTAACGCATAGAAAGAGTGCAGCTCAAGCAAGCACCGTCCTCTCAATCTTAAAGAGGCACTTTCAAGGTATTTTGTGACAGATTTTTGGAAGTAATGCTTGAAATGAGAAGATAAACCTCCCAAGTTAGTTTATACATACTGTTTTTTCTCGGGTATAACCTGAGTCAAAATTTATATGGAATCAGAGTTAAAGTACGGGCGCGGGTTATACGCAAACTTCGGCTGACGGCTTCACAGCAATGCGCGTGAAGTCGTAGGGATAGGCTCCCCAGAGTCCCTCTTCTCTGGTGTCTCCTGGGGCAACGCACAAAGCGTTGTTGCTGTCGAATGCGAGTTGCTGTCAACGGCAACGATTTTCGCAGTTTCCAATCTTTTCGGCAAAGGAACCGACCATCGTCGGGTCCGTTGTTAAAGAAATCAGAAACCGAGTGGTGGGCCTCAATTACGGCCGCTACGATGTCCACGAGTCGTGCGTGTGAAAATGAGAGAAGGACAACCTGGAGACTGCAAGCCACAACTGAAGATTGTTTCGTGGTCCGAAGACTGGTGCATACTCCGACCTTGAAAAAGCACTTACAACGTTAATTGGGGAGAGAAGAGTCATGTCGTATTGACAAAGATCCGGCGTGACCGCAACCTTTCCAGACGAGATGGTGCAGAACAGTTTCAGAAAGGCATGGCATAGATTACAAGCTGCCTGTGGCAATAAAGGCACTCCAGATAAATCCAGTGACTGCAGCGACAAGCGTATTGAAAATATAGGTTGGCTTTCTAGCGAGACCTGGACATTGCTTTACACGGTTAGTGCGAATAATATGCGAGGCATCTTTTTGTTTTTTTTCTGAGAGTAATAAGTTGGTGGTGCGGGTTATATGCAGGGGCTGGTAATATGCAAAAAAAAAAAAAGGCATGTGAGAACTTTTTAATGCAAACATATGGAACAGGAAAAAAAGAAGTTTTAGTTGAATGCTTTATTGAGGTTTACAAATACACTGCACAGAAATTGTTCTGCAGTGTCTAAATATTCTTGATGAAATCTAGAAAAAATTGATAAAGCAAACAAATCGCCTCACTAGTTGTCCTAATTGGAGAATTTTGTTCCTCAAAAATAATATACAAAAACGTTCATGACCACAGCAGCCATTGAAAAATATTCCTAGGAACATTTTGTTTTCCTATCAAAAAGCAACCATGAGCGTAATCACCAACTCAGCATTTAATGTTTTTCCACCTAAAACATAGATGGCAACGCTAAACCCCTTATTCAACACCATGCTTGTAATATTTTGTTGAAAGCGACATTCATATATTTCATATGACACCTAGGTCAACATAATATGTTCAGCATAGATATGGTATGATCTTCAAAAATAATACAGGGAGACATCCATCAGCTTTATTGATGAGCACAAATGTTTCCAATAGTAGCTAAGTTGTGGATGCTCTGAAGCAATGTTGGTTAATTGTATGACAATGTGTTGTAGAACTCTAGTTTAGAAAATAGCACATTAAGGATGTGCTCATACGTGAGGTGAAAAACTTTTATGAGATGTGATTTGCAATGCTAGAAGGAAAGTTAAATAGAGGCAATTTTGAGCTACAGTCATATCTTGTTAATATGAACCTTGCTAATATGGGCACCCCACAAAATACTGTAAACAACTTAATTTTCATGACGACTAAATTTATATGAATTTCGCAAGTTCAATAATATTGTGAAAAATAAATTCCACGAACATGTCTTCTTCTAGTCAGAAATACATAGCATACCACCATGATTAGCGAAAATTCGTGCCATCAAAATATTCCAGACTTTTCACAGGCTCAATATTTCGCCGCAGTCGCAAAATGTTGAGCCCGCAAAACAAAAAGTTGTCTAAATTAGAGGAAACTTTCGGCAATGAGCTGGGTAAGTACACTCATTTTTGTCTCATTATAATGAACAACTTACATTATAGGAACTTTTTGGGGGGAACGGAGGTGTCCACATTAAAAAGACATGACTGTAACACATTTGGAGGACTCCTGCGGATGATCACAAATGTTCAGTACTTTTCCAAAAGCTAAACTGAAGGTCGTACCTGAGCAGCCCTTGGTTCACCTATGCCTGCTGATGCTTGCATTTCCAAAAGCCTGAGTTCACTTCATGGACAATTAGGCACATTATTTGTAAGTTAATGAACCGACAGGAATCGCATTTGTTGCGCAATCTGCTGTACCGGTATGTCACATAAGCGAGTTGACAGCAGGTTCCCGCGGTTTTGTTCGCAATTTGTGCGCACGATATCGGCTCCCGTAACGCGTGAGTTGTTCCCGCGTGTACCATATTTACTCGCATAATGAACACACTTTTTTTCCCGAAAAATTAACACATAATTGAAGGGTGCATTAATTACGCAGGGTAAAATTTTTGCATTTACACACTTTGTGCAAGTGTCATATCACATGCCAATATGATACGGCAAGGTACTGTGGCACGTCTCCACTGATGGAGGTGCACCTACGGCTGCTCGAGGGCGCGCCACAGTAACCATGCTTTATGAATTGTGAACCTTTTTAGGGCACTTTCAGCGTGCCTTTTGCCGAAGGAAAAGCGCCCTACAAAGCTCACTCAGTACAGAGAGCAAAGTGACCGTTCTTAGGCCTAACCACCTTCACGATTTCACTGTGACGACGTGTCTGTTGACATCAATGCATCCGATAGGCAAAGAATGTCCAGGGCTTGGCAATCCCTCGACCCAAGCTTCGTCAAGTCTGAGAGCCCGTCGGGTTCACGGTTGGTCACTTCCACGACTAGGCATTTGCGGCCATTACGAGAGCGGCTTGGCTTGGCTCGACTTCGATTAGAGACTCGCATAGCCGAAAATTGAAGGTGCGTTTATTACGCGAGAGAAAAAAAAAAAAGTCCAAATATTCATACTCGTTGTGGGTGGTGCATCCATTATGTAAGTGCGTTAATTATGCGAGTAAATACGGTATATTGCATCGTGAAATGCGAATCTGCTGCGTCCACGATCTGCGGTATCCGTTCCCAAGACATGAGAGTTTCTAGCGGATTCCCACGTTTTTGTCCGCGATCTGCGCATGCAATATCAGTTCCCGTGATAGGCAAGTTTGTAGCAGGTTCCCTAAGTATATTGCACCATAAAACTTGAATCTGCTGCATCTGCGATTTGCAGTGTTAATTTTTGTGAGATGAGAGTTCTCGGCGGGCTTCTGCGGGTCCTTCGCACAGTAAAATGCGAATCACTTGCGGGTGCAACCTGCGGTAGGCTTTCCTATGACACAGGAGTTTGTAGCGAATTCTTCTGTGTTTATTGCATCATGAAACGCGAATTTGCGGTGCCCGCGATCTAGAGGAGCTCCCACGTCACGTGGTTTGTAGTGGGTGCCCCGGTGTTTACTGTCAATGTTTGATAAAGCTTTGCTATGGCATCCCAAAAAATAGCCCGCCTCCCCCCCCCCCCCCCCCCCCATGTTTTTCGCCATTTATCTCTTCATTTTGGGTGGGCATTTTTTCGGAACTTTACGATAATACTGCATGTAATACTTTGTATCACGTAGCCTTGTCCCCCTTATTAAATGTCACTCTCCATACGAGTCTCTAGAATCTGAAACACGGGTGCCTCACCTCCGTCGCTTCTTCTTGTTGACTTTAATGCCGGTGCCACCCCAGGACCCCCAGCCCGGCAGGTAGTTGTCAATCACCTCTGGTGCATCTTGCTTCACCTGAGCCTTCTTTTCCTCCCTTCAGAAGAGAAAAAGAAAGTTCTTCTTCACAAGACATACAGATATTTTTACAAGATTAAAACGATAAATAAGAATGTTCCATTACAACATCCTCAATCTAAGGATGTCAAAAGCATTAGAGGCTCTGTTCAGGTAAGATTGTGTATGTAAGTCCGGACGCCATTTTTGCTTTTGTTGATTTTTTTATACCCTACTCTTTGACGTGTGTAGGAAACAAAATCAAAAAGATTTCCCAAAAAACATAATATTTGAAGAGAAAAGAAATTTTGAGCGCGCCAAAATGGCATATTTGATTTTTGAAGTTTTTGTTTGTCATGTTTGGTGACACCTACTACGCAAACCACAAATATCACAAATCTCAAATATTTTCCACTTATAATAGATTGAGAGAACTATTTATTTAAATATGTACAGCATTATAGGGGTTATATATTTTGTGTCAAAAATGTCCTTTGACGTTTTGTCACTAGATTTCATAGCCGTTATCTAAAAACATTGAATAGCTACAACATTAAAATTTATGCCATATATTCTTATATAAATCATTGCTTGAGATAAAACAATGATTTTGAGATAAAGTAATTATTTATATACAGGGTGTCTAGCGAATTCTTATTTTGAAATATCCTGACTATTCCAGGTTTTCCCTGACAATTTCACATGAAATTCCCTGACCACAGTAGAGGTAGTTAAATATATATTAAGACTATTACAACACAAGGCAGTGAGCATTGAGCAATGTGAGGATCGTTTTGCATGGGCTTAATCCAACTTGCATATTCTGAAATATTCGGGTTTTTGTCCAGTCTAGATTAAAGGGGCCCCCTGCAAGGACTTTTTTACTGGTTTTTAATTTGCACCGAACCTGAGCGCACTGAACGTAGTAACTTAATGAAACCTTTCTTTTCTCAAATTTTGCTTTAGTTTAAAAGTTATAGACAAATTAAAATTACAAAAACAAGCAAAAAATAACCTCCTTCATGACGTCCTTGGTTGCTTGGGTGGCCGTGAACTATAAGAGGGGTAGTGAGCTAGCGAGCGCTCACGGCTGCCACACTCCGTGTCGATGGCTCGAAAGGGCACCACTAAAGCATGTTCTGGATAGGCTGTATGAAGCGGGCAGCCAGGGCGGCTCGCGTTGCATTTGCTGCACGATTAAACACTGATTCCGCATGACAACACTTCATTAGCCACAAACGACAGCAAACACGGGGTAAAGATCAGTTCAGAACGAGAGCCACTTCGCGCTGCCATACCGCGAAACGGCCAAACCGCAAGCCAGGCCTGCGCCGAAGGCCTTCGGAACGCTCGGAACCGGTCGGATCCTCGAGTCCGTAAACGACCTCAGTGCTGCCGCGTACATCCGGGACCTCTCTACGCTCGCGCTCGTGGGAGCCTGATCCCACTATTCCTTTCTAGTATGTGCAGCCTTTTTTATCCCTTGGTGGCGGGCATGTCGACGGGTCATTTCTGGTTCCCGGACTTTATAAACTACATTTGTTTCTTTTCTGATCTAAAATACTGAACAAAAACTGTTGTCATAAATAATTCAAACGGTTTGCGCCACTTATATTTTGTATTTCAACTAAAAAGAAGCTTTTAGCGGCTCTGACCAGTAGTAAGCCCAGGACCAAATACCTCACATTTCGCGCGCTTTCGATACCGGGGGTCGCCCCCGTCGGTGGAGAATGTTTCCGCGCCATTCGGTTAAAATATGACGCACTGATATTTAGTTACTCTCGACGTGCCCTCGCTGGCTTGCCCGAACCCCAAGAGACGTGGAAACCGCAAAAAAGGTAGACACTTAAATATGATTGCATAGTCCCTTTAAGCGAGCATTTTCTTGCCACCGCCGACATTGTCAGTGAAGAGACCACTTCCGGAAACACAATGAAGACACAATGCTCAACCACACACGTTCAGAACCAAATGTCAGCCTGGCCGCCAGATGCACACTTTCGGATACTTTTGGCTTAAGGCTTGGAGTGGATTGGGGTCTGCGGCTTTCCCACTTTTTATTAAATCTAGCAGATCTACAACTGGATCTAGCTTAGTGTCGTGCCCTCAATCCAATCCAATTCAAGGCTTGGACTGGAATTGTCAGCTGTTTCCTTTGCATCGGGTAGTACACTCTACACTGGGTGAGCAAAGCCCGCGCTCCGCTCTAAGCAGAATTTATTGCCTATTTTTCTGCCCCAAAGTCCTGAAGACTTTGCTCAGGGCACTCGATGGCGTTTCCGGCTCATTTTCCCTGACTGGGCTTGCTTTTTGACAATATCCCTGGCAATTCCCTGATTTTTACCGGTAATTAAAATTTCCCTGACAGTTCCCGGTTTTCCCAGTCGCCAGACAGCCTAATATATTGTTCGAAAGAATGTTTTAATAAGAATACATGACATTAAATGTTGTAGCTATTTAACTTTTTTAGATAATGGCTCAAAAACCTAGTGACAAAACAACAAAGGAGCCGTGTTTGTGCCTTTTTGACACAAAATATATAATCCCTACAAGTCTGTACATATTTAAATAAATAGTTCTCATGATCTACAGTCTAAACTCGTTATAACACACCATGATTTTGACCAAGATTTTGGTCTGTTGTAAGAGGAGTGTGTTGTAAGCAGATATGAAGTTGAGTCAATGGTATGTAGAGGAAAATCAACCGAACTTCACAAATCGGTATGTTATATCCAAATGTTTGTTGTAACCAGGCCTGTTCTAATGTGTGTAGACGGTATTATAAGTAGAAATTATTTTAGATTTCTGATACTTGTAGTTTGCGTAATAGGTGTCACCAAACATGACATAAACGAAAACTTAAAAAATCAAATATGCCGTTCTGGCGCACTCAAAATTTTTGTTCTCTTCAAAAAAGAATTTCTCTTTTTTTCAATATCCCTTTGATTATGTTTTTTACACATGTTGAGGACAAACATATGAAAATATTAGAAAAGACAAAAATATGTCCGAACTTGTTTGCATGATCTTATCTGAACAGAGCCACTCTTGCATGAGCAACAACACAACTACAGCAATACATCATATTCTACCCCAAGAGGTAAAACAGCTGGGGGCAGGCAAAGCCTGCTCTACTCATACATCTACTTTCCACTTCCTAAGTCAAGACACTCAGCAACAGACCCTGGCACCTGCTTTATCCACAAAGTTGTTTTATCTGTGCGCCAGAGTTTGCACATTTGTTTTCCAATTGAAACGGTGTAGTTCGGTGCATTGTATCACCTTTTTACTTTCAAAACAAGCTTTCAATGTTCTTCAGGCAAATGTTATTAAAAATGCAGTCCAAACGGGGAATTCTTTTCTGCCTTATTAAAGGATAAAAAGTTTGACTTCTGTACTAGGTGTCAACTTTATTTCTCTTCCCCCTTCCACCTCTCTTTAACTGTTTGGCCCACATAATGAAGGTTACGTAAGCAGGAAGGCTTCCTGGATTACGGAATTACCGAAAAAATGCAGACAAATTGCCACTAAGTAAATCTTTCTCCATTCATTAGTAATAAAAGTGACCATGGTCTTCACCAAGAAAAGAGATGAAGACACTTTCTGTCTCTTTCTGGAAATCATTTTCCTTTTAAGAAAAACACAAGAAACAATTACAGATTATTAATTTCTTTCCACTAGGTTCGCAGTTCAGAAGATTAAGATTGAGAAGGTGCAGCCAAAGTGCGGCACAAGGCAACGAGCATGTGCTGGAGGCCGGACGTCGGAGAGAGATGCCCAGTCCTTCTCTCCCCCCCCAGTGACTACAGATGAACTACCCACTCTGTCAAAAGAAAAAAACTGACCGGAATGCACTGATGACGTCGTCATCTGCAAACGCCTCAGCAATGGTGACCGCCTGCTCCTCCTCCCCTTCCTCGTCGTCCAGCGCTTCGTCCGCCGCACCCTGCAGGTCTGGAACCTGCGACTTGAGCGAAGTCTGCTTCACTTGCAGGAACTTGGTCGGGTCCACTTCCACCTTGTCTGACACGACTGGAGTTTTCTTCGACGGCTCGTCTCGCGCGACTCTCGTCTTCTTTTGCTTCGGGGTGTTTTCCTTTTCAAAGGCTTCGAGATCTGCGAGAGTCTGCCTGCGCTCCAAACCCTCGTCCAACTGTTCCGAAGGGCCTTCGGCCGCAACAGAATCTTCGCACGACGTCAGGTCCTTGGCCGTTTTTCGTTCGGTGCTCGACTCAACCTCGAACCCTCGCTTCTTGAGGAGGCTTTCTTTTTTCTTCTGCTTCCTGCGGCTGAACGTGTCGAACAACTCCTCGATGTCGGCCGCACGATCGGAAACCTTCTTTTTCTTTCGACGTTCCACTTTGTCAGCGGCTCGGCTTGTACCAGGCAAGCTCGACTTATCCCGAGAATGACTTTCCTTGTTTGGATCTGAAAATGACTCCTCTTTTGATGCCCCCGATGAACCCGTGACGGCTCCGTTACTAGAGTTCTTCGCTTTTTCGGGAACCATAAAGTCGCTTGTGCCTTGATCGATATCGGCACCCGATACGGCAGCATTGGTTTCCTCGCTCTTCCGTTCTAAAAGGGGCAAAGTCGGTTCTCCGCCATTAGAGCAGACGCCTTCGACGATGCTTTCGTCTCCACCATTCTCGCTTTCAGAGTCAAGTGCAGGCTCGTCGTCGACATCAGTCTTGTTAGCTATGCCGAGGGCAGGGTTCTTCAGCCAGGGGTTGGAAGAGCTGAAGAAGCGTGCCTCAAGCTCCCCTCCGTTCTTCACTACCGCTTCGCCCGCAGCACTTGGATCGCCGTCGCTCTCGGAAGATTCCTCCGCGGCGGCCTTGTGGGTCAATTGCCGGCTCATCTCCAGCTGCTTCAGCAGAGCTTCACGACTCTAGGTAAACCAAAATGAATAAGATTGAAATGAAATTTTATTACTTTGTTTAGGAAAAGCCAAGTGCAGCGAAGAAAAAGACTGCTTGTATCTGCCTAAAATGCCAAAGTAAAAAAATAACAGAAAGGCCTGACTAGATATGTAAACTAGTTACAGCAATAAATTTTTCTACTAACAAAAGGTTGGACGCAGTCACAATTATTCAATTTCTCCCATCTAGGAATAGCCTTATGACGAATTCCATTGGTCATTTTGGAGTGCGCCGGGATCAGTAGCCCAGATCCAAAATGGAGCACAAGATCCGAACGAAGTCGCTTCACCTCTGGTTCTCGAGCGGAACATGACTCCTCCTCCAGGATCGGCGAATGCCTTCCCATCATTCATCTTCCCAGGAATTCCCTTCCCGTGGTACCGGATCTCAAAGCACATGTTTTCGCAATCACGGCGCTAACAACACGTGTTCACCGCATGAGCAAAGTTAACCACGATGTGAAAGATGCGTGTCGATTAGCGATGTGCCTCAGGGTGACGAACTTGCCTCTGCATCGGAATACTCGTGAACGGTGTCCAAGTACGTCTCGATTTTCGGCCTTTTTGGCGGAGGTTCGAAAAGGCAGCCGAATTCATGCGGGACATAAAAACAGTCCTCGTCGTTGCTGCTACTCGAGCCGCTGCTGCTGGCAACTCGAGCAACTTGACAACGAACTGTCATCAAGCAGCAGCAGCAGCAGCAGCAGTAAATGGGCGGCACTTTGCGAGCGGCCATTATGAATTCTTCCGAGGCAAGATGCCCGGCGAGAAAGGAAGTCATATGCGCTGTCGAGGGCTGGCCAGGTTGGCTTCCAATAGAATCCGCCGAAATCAGCGGAGCAACTTCTTTCGGGTCCAGATCGAGATCTGGAGCAGGAGCTGGTCCAAAACAATGAGCGGAACACGTCTGTCTCTATCCCGATTGCCCAGTGAAATAGGCACGCTCCAGAAAAGTCGATCTCAGCAAGCTCCAACACGACCAGTGGAATTCACCATTAATCTCACTGTGAGAGGGGTTTCCCTAGGCACATTCTAAGAAGCCAGAGGCACTCCCTCCAGTTATGGTAGATGCTGCACGATTACCGTAAGAGCTGGCAATATGACCGCCACATGGATCGTTGGGAACATTTATACAGCTGCTTTGTGCTGAATGAGTCAGGGTGGATACAAACGAACAACTTATGAACAGTAACAAAAGAAGCACTTATATCAGTGATTCATTTTTAATTTATAGGGTGCAACTATTCAATGGTTATATGCTGCTATTATAAGCTTCGTCCCAATAAGAGGGAAAAAAACTACTTTGAAGCAAACGTGGTTGGGAGCTCTTCAAAAGGGAGGACTAAAAGGGCTATTGGTTTAGTGATGCACAGTGTGAGCAGTGCTTGTAATGCTGGAAACAGTGTGAACAGTAAGGAACTTTCCAGTAATTATCTGGCACAGATCGCGTATGTAGTCTTTGAAATGTGGAGAGTACAGATTCTGTCAATCTACAGCAGTGGTATTCAAATTGGGGTCTGTGTACCCTTTTGGGTCCCTGAAGGCCTTCTTGGGGTCCCCGAAGCCTTAGACTAGGGGTTCTCAAACTGGGTTCCACGAAACACAGGGATTCCGCAAGCTGGTCCCTAATGGTTCCCGCAAGCACCCAAATTGCAGTGCCCCCCCCCCTAGTTTAACCTTCCACTAACTCATGAGCCATGGTTCGAGTTTGTGCTGCGGGGAAAGCAACCTCACCCTTCGCACTAATATGTATATATATATTTAACATCGTGCCCCAGGTTAACCCCTTTACCTTCTTATTCTGTCCGTAGCCCTCCATTCTGTCTTATTCTGTCAGTGCAATAAACCCTTGTTCACTATGTAAACACCTTTACTGCCCAGTACTTTCGGTTGGCGACAAAGAGGTGTGTGGGGGTTCCATGGGAATTTTTGAGGTTTGCTGGGGTTCCCTCGGACGAAAAAGTTTGAGAACCCCTGCTTTAAAGGGCAGCTCCGGCCAAAACTCAAAATGAAATAAATTACTGGTATTGCTGTAGTGACACAAAATACGACCCCAGCCAAAATATTATGTCCGTGGCACGCCGCATTCTCAACTAATGCCGATAATAAAAATGCGACCCGCCGCGAGCCGCTGCTCCTTAGCGGGCGGCCAGCGGGTTGCCGATCGCTAAAGCAACATTGGGCCGTGACGTCCGTATCGTTCTCTTTTTTTCCTCCGGCCCGAGCGTTGCGCGGAGTGCGCTTCTTTGAGCTGCTACCACCACTACTTCGGCTTGTGATTGGCGTGTTTAACCGTTGCTTTTATCTGTAGCCCGTGTAGCTTCTGTATAGCCTGTTTATTTGCTTGTGAGGACTCCAAGACTCGTTTTAGCGAGCGATTCGGTGCGCCCAAGACTGCTCAGCTGTTCCTCGAAAGATGCCGAGTACAACTTGTAGCGCTGTAAGCTGCTCAAACAACCCCCTGTGCGAAACGGAGGTGCTTTTTCACAAGTTTCCAACGGACCGGAAATTGGAGAAGGTGTGGGTGAACGCCGTTCGACGAGTGGACTTTGTACTTCGGCTTTTACGCACCCGAGGAAAAAAGAACGAAAAAACAGACACGTACAGCCCAGCACACATGTGTTCGGGCGCCGCGGCCCGCGCCGGAGAGCATCAAAGCTTCGTGTCTGGGACTGACCCGCAGCGCGAAAGCGAGAGGGCCCCCAGTACTGTACATCACTCGGAGCGCGGCGTAGAGCAACACCGCTCCATTCACGGAGCCCCGATGACAATTTAGGCCTAGCGACGAGTACGGAAGACTGCACACACGGCGACATCTGCCGAGTACGGCACCGAACAAGTTCACTCGTTTTCCAGTCGCTAGTTTTTGGATATACAACCGACGAGTAAGCATAGCGCATGCACGGTGGCGGTTGCCGAGTAGGGCACCGTACGAGTTCACAAGTTTTCCAGTCGCTAGCTTTTGGGTATACGCACTAACTCTTGCTACATATGCTGGATAACTACCACGTATACAGAATTAAAACAAAATCAGCTTTCCTCCTATCTTTAGACGGCAAGCGTAACAGAGATAGGTGCCGCTCGGCCTGCATACTTGCTGAACGAGAACGATCCTGACGTCACGTTCACATAGCGGCTGATTTCCAATGTTGCCAGGGCCTCGAGCGACTAGTTTCGGTTTTGTTGGCCGCGCCCCAAACAAAACTTTGAGGCCGTCTATATCTTTAAAACAACGCACAATAACGAGAAAAAAATTACACCTCGCAATTCAGGGACGCTGACTGCACTAAAAGCAGTCATAATCCCAAAATCAAATGTATGAACCAGAGTTGCCCTTTAAACCATCAATCAAGCCGAGCACTAAAACTTTCTTTATTTATTTTTTATTGATGTTGGCTGGTTGCCTCACACGGCTGAATAGACGAAACCATGTCCACCGAGTTAGTAGGGTTGATTATTCTCTGATTTGGGGCTGCAAAGTAGGTTTGCAAGCACTTAATTTTCTTTATGACCTTTCTGTCATTGCAATCGTTTGATACCGGCCCCTGCCCCCCCGGAGGATGGGGTTTCCCATCACTGCCACCGATCCAAAAGGGTTTTTCGAAGCATCTGTGGTTAAGAACCACTGACCTACAGAAAGCTCACCGATTTTCAGACAGTAGCCTGCCTAAAAATGATGGTAAGTGGAACTAGCTTTCAACACCACTTACCTCTTGGTTGTACTTGCTTCGCAGCATTTGCTGTTTGGCCCATTTTCCCGTGCTCTTGTGCCTCAGAGACACTCTTTCCTGAGGAAGAAAAATGAATGACAAGAGGTAATTAATTGAAGATGCAAGTTTTAAAGCACTTGAGGAGATTTCTTCTAGCTTACCAGCACACGCTGCTTCTCAAGTTCCCTGAGCTTTTCAATGGCCAGCTCTGGGTTGCTCTCTTTCAGTTCTTCAAACTCTTTCATTTGCTTCTTGAGGCGTTCTTTCTTCATGATTCGATGGTACCTTGATGACAATAAAAAAACACACGGGGTTTGTTGCTATTAGATTTAAAATGTGAAACAGTTATACTATTTAAAGAAAATGCCCTCACTTTTTGCTCTTTATCTTGTTCTGCCTCCTTGCTTTCATTTCCTGGTAGGACAGGAGGGCCCTCATCTTCATCAGTTCCTGGCGTCTCTCTCTAGCCTAGAAAGGCAAAATGGAAAGCAATTTTTTCACCTACAAGACTGATTGATCCTGCACCATGCACAAAGCAGGATTTTAGGAACATTCTTAAATGGTTGCACAAGAAATAGTAAGAACATGTGCACAGAATCAGATATTGCACCAAGGACACAAATCACAAAAATAACATGATGTATGTATAGTCACAGAACATCAGCAGTCTACATAGTTAAGTGCTAACAATGTCTTCTGAGGAATGGGGCCCAGAGTTAGAAAAGCTTGTGTCGTTTTTACTTCAGGATACAAGCTAGCAACAGGCAAAGGAATGTCATTCTGAAATAAAAATTCCGAGCACCGGTAGTTGAGGAAAGGAAGAACCAGAGGAGCTGTAGTTGGTGACAAGTCAAAAATTCAGCAGCAATGCGGAGCACAAGTTTGTCTGCTCCTTTTGCAGGGGTTGTGGTGATGTCAGAATGCCCAGCCCTGATTGGCTCTGATAGAAGGATAGTGGGTAGACCTCAAAGCAAGCTGCCTCAGGATCTACCCACTCTCCTTCAATCAGAGCCAATCGGAGCTCGGCATTCTGACGTCACCATAACCCCTGCAAAAGAAGCAGACAAACTTGCACTCCGCACTGCACCTTGAAAAGAATAATGCCCTTTCACCAGCCAACCTCTTCTACTTGTTTTCTTGATGTCAAAGCCTTAGAAACCAACGTTTTTGCAATATGACAGCGCGCATGGTATCATGACTGTTAGTGATGCAGACTTCTCGAGGTGATTTTTCTGTTCTTCCCCCACCCCAGGGGATGTCAAAAAGTCATGCTGACATCGGCTTTTGTTCACATTAGGTTCTGTGCAATGACGTGAGAGTCCAGAAGCCTACCATCCCTGAAGTCTTGACTGTGCACTTACACACTGCATCTTTTCTTTGTTTGCTTCTACTGGCCCCCACCTGTAGCAAAATCATGGCAGTACCAGCTTTTGTCCACAGTGGTTTCTGCCTAGTGCAACATGAAAATGCTGCAGTCCCGTTCCATCGAAGCGGTCACACTGGCCGAAACGTGTGCACCTACTTGTGTGACTTACAACAGGCGAGATGCCTGACCAGATATTGTCCGCTTCTATTACAGCTAGTTCTAAAGTTAATAAACTAAATACACCTTTTAAGATGTTGCCTTCAAAGCAGTATCTATTGATTCGTGAAATGTGGTGCCTTTGTCAAGTCTCGTAGTCCTAACCAGTGGCATGGTAAGTAATGACTGAAAGGGACACTATGGTAATGTGCCCTCATCCCCCATGCATGAAGGTGGTGTGGGACAGCATCAGTTGCGAGTGTCCAAATTTTCGAGACAGTGTGTCCATATCGTCACCCTTGTATTGCTAAAGTAGAATATCTTCCGGTCTTTTTCTTTGTATTGTTCGATGTGCCGCAAGTAGACTCGATAGGCAGTGAGTTTCGTTCCCTTTTATCTCGCCCAAAGCTGAAATCGCAACGTAGATAACACACTGAAATATTTGTAGGGATTTACTTCCTCGACAGCGGTGCGAATCTAAGTGGGGTGCATAACACTTGCGGGCGAAGCTTCTCCCAAATTCTCGACTTGCCCCTGACTAAAGAAGTCAAAATTCCAGGCCAATATACCTCATGCAGCATGACCCCATAGACAAGCATTTATATACCTAATTTCAAATTATGGATTCTACAGGGTGGTAGAGTGGCAACACACAAAGGTCGAAACAAATCAACATTTTAAACTTCAGCAGGGGTGAGACAAGTGAAACAGGTTTTGGAGCAATTTTTGGAGCAGAAAAATCTGGATTTTGGAGCAGCTTAGGAGCACAAAATTCTCGTTTTGGAGCAGCAGTTTACGCATCTTGGAGCGACTTCGGAGTAGAAAGGTGTACAGTTTGGAGCAGATTAAAAGCAGAAAATGTTAGAGCAGCTTATCAGCAATTTAAATCATAAAAAGTCTGATTTAAATCACATAAATCTGATTTTTCTTTTATAATCGTTATTTTTTTCCACCCTGGTTCCAATAAGTCATCAGCGTCGATACGCACCGAGATCAAATATAAAAGAAAAAAAACGGAAAAGGCAAACGCGAGTTTAATGCACATAGATGAAGACAAGAAACACAGGCTTGCTGCAAAGTAAGGTGGGCACCAGGTACCTCAAGCTTATACGAACTGGTGCTAAAACGCAATGCTCGTGAAAAACCTTTTAAAGCGGTGATTCGAGAGCATGAACAGGGAAGCACGGTTCACTACAACGAGACATCGATCGGACGCTCGTAGAAAGCACGCGCAGATAAAAAAAACACTCCCCACAAAAAGTGAGTCACAAAGTAAATAGTGAATTGGTAGAAAATCTATGAGCAGCACATGTACGCTAAATATGGGTATGTGACCGATTAATTCGATTGTTCACGGACTGGAAGCACGTGTGGGATAACCGAAAGTACTCACGGCAACGGCACCATCCATTTTGACGAGAGGTTACGGACACGAATGAACAATTACGCAATGGAGGCGCTCAATAGCACTTTTAAGAAAGGTCTACTCTCAAAACAAAAGAAATACTTGCTCATCTTGATAGCCTGTGCGTCGTACCTCCCACGGCCAGACAGCGAGACACAGTCACAAATGACAGCGAAAAAATAGCAGGAAAATTGGGAAACGACCACGTATCATAGGTAGAGAAGGGTACTACAGCTGAAATCTTCGAATCTGACGGCTGCTTGCGCCACCCTGTGCCCGTGCCGTGTACTTTACTACGACGAGATTGAATGTTGCCAATCAAGCTCTCGTTTCCCATTAAATCTAGTGTCGCCACAGACGTTTTTTTTTTTAGTTCTTGAGCTACTTTGGTGCAGCGTGGCGCAATCTCGACCGATTTCGCGTTTTTGGCGCAACTAGGCGCAGAAAATTGTGTTTGTATCAAAATGGCGCAATTGGTGCAGATGTCACACCCCTGCTTCAGAACTGAAGCAAGATATCATACCTCATCCAGGCTCATTGCTTGAAGTGCTTTCTCCTCAGCAGGAGTCAGCTCTTTGTCATCGTGAAGCACATTTTCGCTGCTGGCCAACAGCTTGTTAATTTCCGCTTCAAGTGAAGTCTTGGGCTGAACAAACAGGCAACAAAATGATCAAGTAGTAAGTCCCCAGCTTGACTTCTCTTTAATTTAAGTAAATACTTTGGCAGACCAAGCAGTGGACTATGGGAGACGGGCTCAGTAAGAAAATCACCTGGAACTTTTTTACAAACTGTTCCGCCGGCACCATTCTCATGTCAGGCTGCTGGAGAGGGAAGCAGATTTGTTCAGCCTGTAAGAAGGTAAAGCATGAAAGGAACCGTGAAGAACTGCCACAGGTTTCAAGACGTAACCAAGACAAAAATGTGTTTGCACGATATGTTTTGGTATAAATTTTATTAAAAAAAAAGAAAACACAAATTCTCCAATTTCTAACATATGATCGCACATACATCAATTAGTACCAAGATTGGAAAGCATAATTCATACAATTGTGCACCCACATAATCATAACAAATGAGCCACATAATAAAGAATGCTAGATATCTGAAAGTGTAATGATAAAGCTGCAGACAGAAATGTGGAACTTCACAGCACTACAAGCTAGAGTTCCAGCAAATATGACTTTAAGAACAGTGTCTTCTTGCAACAATGCATGAAGTGACTTACAGAAGCAAGTGAACAAGGTAGTCAGTTCAGGAAGGCCCAAAAAGTAATGGCCTTAAATGGAGGTGTGCTATCAGGCAGCTTCAGATTATTTGTTAAAAGGTTTTATGCAAGATTACTACCTGTACAGACCTGCATAAATATCATATGAGATGAGTCACAGAGGTGGGGAACGCTTCATTCCTTGTTTCGAAAAACTATGAAGCATGCCCAGCAAGGACCATCTGCTGTGCTATTCAACATATAAGAGGTAATTAGAAGAGCTTTTTTTCTAAAAGAACAGAATCCAAAAACCGAAACTAAGCCAATTTTAGCTGTAATTCAAGGCATATCTGGGGGTCCACAGTTTCCAGAAGGTATTAATCTGAAATCGGTCATACTATGCGAGAAACGCCAATGCAAAGGTGGCCGCAGTACGGGGCTCAAAGCTAGTCCGGTAAGCACACGTTCCTGTTTATCTCAGTTTCGCTTCTCATGGATTTGGCTCCTCTTAAAGAAGCATTAAAAACTCTTTAATGAACCTCTCACTAGCCAATTCTTCGGCTAACCACCAGAAATTGTAATAAAATATATCACACAGACATTGCAAAGAGCGATGTTATAGGAGGAATTGTTTGTCCTTCCATTTGACCGGAAGTTTCCAGGGGAGGCAAAATGCAACAGCAGTGCCTTGCAACATTTTTATAGATAGGTCTATAGGAGAAGTATGGGGGCCTGGTGGAACCCATAATTTTTAACTAACCACGCAACTCTCACCAAGCCTGGTGAGAGTTGCGTGAGAAGCTCGACAATCAACGCGAGAGTGTGATGGGGGAGCGCCGACCGCTTTCAGTCAGCGCTCTCGCATCAAGCTTCACCGCTTCGTACCGATGCACGTGCGTAAGGCTTCAATGCCTTGCACCGGCCTCTCAGAGAAGCATTTGACGCAAAGGAGTGTCTCGGTCGGCTCAGTGGGCTTAGAAATTTGCAGGGATAGGTGTTTCATATATCTTTTGGTTGCATTTCAAATGTTTCAAGAGTAGGAGGTGGACACTTCCTGAATAATGGCCACACGGTTGTTGTTTTATGGCAGTGTTCTACATCTCTTTTCTTATTTTATGATTGTGAAGAACTAAATGCAGTTGACCATCTATAATCCTAACCAAAGAGCGCCAATCTGTACATCAACTCACATGCCCCCAAAAAAACGGCACACCCCTGGCTGTGCCATTTTTGCGTTATAATTTAGTTGCGCCATTTCCGAGAACAAACCATTTTTGGTTTGTTCTCGAAGGGCAAGGTCGTTTGTGTTCAATTGTGAACCCCTTGTGCTCGTGGAGTGCAAGGTGGTGGTTGTGCTTAACTGTGATCCTTTGTGTAAATGTTTCGTAGCTGAGGTCAGGGGCGATAAGAGAAGGTTTACCCTGTCTTTGTTAAAAACTGTATGTGTGTGTGCGTTTTTATTTACCTTCTTGTTCTAGAATTTACCTCTAACCTCAGCTTCCCTAGAATGTCTCAATGAGGTTCCACAGTATCGGCGCACAAGAGAGGAAACACGAAGCAAGTACATTACCAGACGGTTCTTCTTCACGACCGGATCCCAGCGGGAGACCTCCCCTTCCACTTTGTTGTAGGCCACTTGACGTTCCACCTATGCAAGAAAGGCAACCCCGACGTCAGGACCACGTACGGCAGGCACCAACGTTACCGGTTTGAACAAGAAGCCGCGCCGCAGAAACGATCGTCATACCCTGTGCTGCTGAGGCTTGGGCAGTGGTGTCGGCAGCACCTTTGCATTCCTGCTGATGGCCCTCACTTGTCTTCTGAGTTGTCTGTGCTTTTCCGTCTGCTTCAGGTTCATGAGCAGCTGATGCACTGCCACTTTCTCTTTCTCCGCTGGAAGCGTATTGGCGAAGAAGAGTTAACAGGCTATATTCGGGGTTCCATGTCTTCTTAGTTTCTTTTCCCACAAATTCTGTGTTTTTCTGTGCGATTGTTCTCAATGTCAGACAAAACAACTGGCATTTATTGGGGCTTATATCAAAGACGGCCCAGATACTTAAAAAAAAATGTCTTCATACAGATAGAAGGAGGCAATGGAGGTTTGCTACCCAAAGAAAGAAGCAGCCTCGACACAAAACAAAGCCAAAGATGAAGGTTTCTTCCTACGAAGCTTTATTATCGGAGGGCAGCTGCGATAGAGGGTTTTTAGGTTGTCGCCCAACTTCGATAAAACAGGCTAAGGCGGTTAGTGTTTGGGGTTTATATGCATATGCAGTATACTGCAAACGTGAAACCCTGGTTATAGAAAAAATTATTCCTTCTAGCTTACCTTGCGAGAGGTCATACTCAGACACATTAAGACTGGGCTCGGTTCTTGGGGTAACCTTCCTGAAAAATTGTATACAGGGATTAATGATTTCAGTGTAAAGGGAAGGTACTCCTGCCAATAGAAACATGGCAGCGAGCATAGCATACAGTAAACTGAGTACAGGGAGGTGGTTAGGAGACTGCACTGCTCACCACAAGAGCAGCCTCTTGGCAGCTCAAGCAGTTATCAATTATCAGCTCTGCCAACTGTTCACAAACATAGCCTTTCTGTTGCTGGTTGGTGACAATCAAGTGTAAAGCATGGTTGCAATAATATGTATTCGGCAGCTGACTGTCCCAGCGACACCCCAAAGATTTTCTAGACAAGGACCCTTGTGCTCTCTGCTTCTTGTAAGCTCGCAATTTTGCCGTCTTTAGCTTTCATTTGCACGTACAACTACTTTGGGTCCCCACATGATGTTACAAGAAGATTTAAAACACCGCCACACCACAGCACTGGCAGCCGCAGTATGCTTGCGGGCCACTTCCCAAAGCGTTGCGGACTGCATGCGGCCCGTGGGCTGCGTGTTTGAGACCCTTGGCCTAACGGGTACCACTGCTGTCTAACGGGTACCACTGCTGGCCTAACGGGTACCACTGCTGATTGGTATCTTTAGAGAGTAAAAAAGGAATCTCCAGTTTTTTCTACTTCTGGCAAGAGCCCACTGGCTTCTGTATATGGCAAGGGCATTCGTCTGCTCCTTGCATGGAGGGTTAATGACGTCACGGTGCCGAGCTTTGATAGGAGAATGGCTTTGGGCGGATGCTGGTAGGCAGTCGCGCTGCAATGCGTAAACAAAAGCACCGACATCTGTTGCTTGCAGTAATGGCTGCCTTGCCTTTGTGGATGTCAGAAGTCCTCCAATTCTTAACAAACGAGGACTCCATCTTCGAGAAAAATGTTTGGAAATACTTGGAATTGCATGTACTTATAGTTGACTAAAAATTCCCAAAGTCACCACAATAAACAAAGGACTCATGGCCAAGATGTCATTTAACCACCGAAGAGGATGTTGTCTGTTAGCTGGAAAACTTAACCCGCTAAATTTAGCAAGAAATTTAGCAAAACTTTTCTCGCTAAATTTAGCGGGAAAGGGAGTGCAGTTTTAATTGTAAAAGCAACTGAAGTTTTAATCGTCAAGGCACAGCCTTGATGATTAAAACTTCAGTTGTAAGCTCGGCGTCTGTCTGCCTCCTTTCTTTCGCCCCGTCTGTTTCGCTCTACGTTTTAAATATTCATGCCTTACCAACACGCCCAAGCTTCCATTTTGTAGCAAAGGAATATGAAGGTGTGTTTAAGCGTCGGTTAAACCACAAAACCTTTAAACGAGCAGTAGCTATCGCTGTCAAGAAAACGTAAATCCTTCATCACGCAGGTCCTGTTACATTTCAAATTTGTTATCGCTATTAACCAGAGACGACTGTTCTGCCCAGTCAGCACTTATCGCCTGTACAACTGTCCTAATTTCTGCCAAGGTCGCCGTTGGCCTGGGCAGTGCAATTACAAGAAGAGGGCTACCTTTCTGTGTTTTGGAAAAAATACTGAATCACACCAAAAGTAGGGGTGGGTTGTCTTTCGGAGGGGGGGGCATCTCTCGTACACAATCAAACCCCGCAATAACGAAGTAGCCGGGGAAGCAAATATTTTTCGTACTTGCGAGAATTTTTTTGTCGCAAAAACGGACAAATAAGCACACCTATTACTTGCCATGGTTCTGTCCTTAAATTTCAGAATCGTAGAAAGTGAGCTGCACGGGAGACTGAACTCCTCCACAATATTCTACTTCTTTCTGCACTACGCAGCTTCGGCGATGATCGCAGACTTCTCCCGAAGCAACAAAAACTTAGGCTTTTTAACGGGAGGCGGCATCTTTCCGACAGGCCAGACAAAACGTAGTAATCAACACGTGAGAGATCTCGGCGTGCACGCGGCAGACGATGAAATGGCAGCGGCCGCGTGCGGTGTCGTTACGTGAAACTTCACATACCTACGTAGCTGCCAACAGATGGGCTAGCAAAACAGTGTTTTCAGTGACCAAAAAAAAAACCATAAAACGTTGCTATCATTATTCAACTGAATGTAAACAGCGATGGCCGCGCCGATGCTTGTCGGAAACGTATGTGCCCCACTTGTCGGATGAGTGTGTCGCTCCACTTTTCGTACCTCTGGGTTCCCAAGTAGCTCATGTGCCGAAAAAATGTTGCAGATCACTACCTCAAAATTTCATTAATGCGGAACTGGTTTTTAAAAACTCTTCGCTGTAGAGAGAGTACAAATGCATTGAACTCTATGGACGTTCGCCGGGGCCGCCAGATTTATCTGTTGCCGCGAGAATTTCCTTTTGGAGACTTTACGTTATTGTGGGGTTCAACTGTATATTATGGTAGACGTAAAATTGGACTAAAGCGCGGGACACGTGGACAGCAGAACCGTCCGATCCGACGTCCGATCCGACAGTCCGAACGTCGCTCCGAATTGCCGCACGCGACAGTTTGAGACACACGCTTCCGACCTTGCATGCGACACGACGATCCGTTCGGCTCCGCCCAGGAGATCCAACTTCCAAACACTCCAGAGGAGGTCTGCGTTCATAGATCTCTGGTCCCAGATTGACGGTTTAGCTCGCACAGCGAAGTTAGGAGCTTGTTCTCACTAGCGCATGCATTCTTTGCCAGGGCCATCTTTTTCGAATGGGCCAGCGGGATCCAAGCGTCCGGCTTTTCGTCGCCCGTCCCGTTTTCTTGTTCGCACCTCCAGACCACGGCCGGTCTCGATGCGCGCGTGCGTCGAGACCGGCCGTGGCCAGACCCAGCACCTCATCATGACGTCCACGCTAGCTGTGCTGTCATTGGCTGGACGCATTCGACAATCCGTCCGCCGTGCGAAACTATCTGGCACCTGGACGCACGCCGGATCGCCGATCCGACGTCTGAAGCGACCAAATTTTTCGTATCAGGCAGTCGTACTGCCGGATTGGACGTCGGATCAGATGGATTTTTCGCGCACGTGTCTCGCGCTTTACAGATATGTTATATCGCAACCTGAAACATTTGGTCTATTAAAACACATGGTTGCTAATTATGCAATGAAAATGGTAGCTAATTCTGAGAAGAAATTTGCTTGATCTGAAATAGAAACAATTGGCAGTGGGAAGACCACTTCAGAGTTTGATGGCATGCAGCAAAGAAGAGCTATTGAATGCTAATGTTGCCCCGAGAATATGTTGCAGGCTCTTGGCGTTAAAGCTATGGGACCCTTTATAAACAAGTTCAAGGAGCGATAGATGTGCCAGTAGGTTGGTGCACAATTTGTGAATTCAGCACATGAGTGAAACTGTATGCCGCATTTCTAGCAAAGAAATCTAATAATATTATTTTATTAATAATATCCTGTCAGAACGTGAATGTGATGATGAAATATAACGGGCAGGTCGATTCTGAATAGATTCAATTTGGTTAATCAAGAAGGTTTGATAAGGAGACCAGATAGCACATGCGTATTCAAATTTCAGGCAGACATATGGTTCTTATGATAGTTTGCGGAGGCGAGGGGCGCAGATTTTAGATTACGCTTCAAGTAACCGAGGGTATGGGATGCTCTAGCAGTTTTAACATTAATGTGTGAGACCCCAAAAAAATATATTTGAGGTTGGTTCGACATCGAGATACTGATAAGCAGAAACAGCGACGATGGGTGAATTGTGGATATAAGCAAAACCCGAGTCACTGCATTTTCGGGTGAAAGAAACAAGTTTACACTTTGCACTGTTAAGGGTAATTTGCCTCGTGGCACTGATGAATTGCTGTCCAGCACTTTACACCAAAACCATGTGCATCAAGCAGTGATGCTTACACAAGTATTATAGCAGCAAGCAGTTGCATAATCAATGCTGTGCGATGCATGTTAAAGACTCCAGGTTAGCAGTGCTACTGAACTGGTTAAATTGCCCATCTACAGCATGAACCAGTGCTGCCATACCTGAAAGACAGGCTGACCTCTCGCTGTCTAAACACTGAATCCCTAATTTGCATCTGCATTTTCGGTGACAGTAACAGGATAATTCGCTGCATAGCTTGGCAAAGCAAATGGCATTCACTAAAACATGGTTCACGGGAATCCAGCGACTGTGACCAATTTGCATATATTTTCTCACTTTTTACTTATAATTATTTCACCACAGGCTCGAAATAATTCTAATAATGTTATAAGTAGAGTTCCTTGTTTTCGGTAAATACCAATAAACCCCAAAAATTAACCACCGGATCGGTCACGCTCATGTTCCCTGGAGGTTTAACAATCACATAACCATGCTCTATTTTTTTTTTTTTTTAAATATAAATTTTGATAAATGCAGGTTTTTTTATTTTACACCAAAAATGAATGCTGAAAAACACCGAGTTTGGGACAAAAATAAACTCCTACCTCGTAAAAACACCCTCAGATTCAGACAAACTATAAACCCTGAAAACACGCAGCCCTATGCTCCAGTCACCCCTAAGCTGAAACTGCGATGATAGCTACGTCCTCAGTGGACCAGTCATACGCATCTCTTTCGCTACGTCATCCCACTCTCGCCCATACGCACGCACAGAGAGTAGGGTCAGATGACGAAAGGAAAACGCTGATTGGTCTGGAGGGCAGGAACTCCCACTATTGTCTCAGCTTAGGGGTTAACGGAGTATATAGTAACGAGCAATTATTTCTAATAGATGGTGCGCAGATTTTTGATGGCGCAAATACTGCAAAACCTTGTTTGTTTATTTTCAGTTGAAAGGAGAGAGGAAAGTGAGGAGGGGCAGAAAAAAATCCTCGGTAGCGCCAAAATTCAAACTTCGGGTCTCCTAATTACCGGTCAGGTATGCTAACCATTGCACCATAACACCATCAGTTTAGTTACAACCGGTCATAACACAGTCAGCCAGTTAAACGCAAATGTGTGCACTGGAAGCAAGGTTTTCCTGACATCCTAGAGATGCCAGTGAATAGAAATGCAGCATCAGCATCATGATATAATAATATAAATAATAATAATAAAACTCACTTTTTCCCACCCAAAGACCCAATAGCGTCCAGCAGTTTGGTATGTCTGAAGTCGTCGCCGTCATCATCTTTTTTGCCCTGCATTAAAAAGGACACTCTTATAAACATTTTTCACGGACGTCACTGCCGGGGCTTATGGGATATGTCGCCGACATCACCAGGTACTGACACAGTTTCGGTTTCAGGCCACCGCCGGAAACACTGGCCACTGCTGCATCATTTTCGGTGCGCGTTTCTTTTGCATTTTCGTGTTATGTGCAGTAATGCCGATGTGCATGACGTTCGGTTGCTGCAGCAGAAGCAAGTCCTCCTCCGCAAAGGAGATTGACTCAGTGTCAAATATAAGGCTCCGTGTTTTTGCCAAAAGTGATAAACCGACAGTCTGAGTGCACAAAACTGCTGTTCGGGAAACAATAGAGCCCTTGCTCGCACACACCGGAAGGATTTGAAGAACCTCGACAACGACAGTGTCTGTTGTCATTGCTTCATTACCGGTAAGGAATAAACGTGTCATCCGTAACACATTGATCGCTGAAGCCTTAAATTCATACTCTGTGCGCTTTGCCGCGGCGGCCAAGGCAGCTTTAGTGTCTGGTAGTGTCACGTTGCAGGGACTGACAAACCTCCTACTAGATCACGGAGAGCTGCTGTTGCTTTCTTTGCTTTTACCTTCGCTGCCGAAAGTATTAATAGCCCACTTGTGTTGATAGTGTTTCGGCGGCTGCGTGAGTTTGTTCAGCTCATATGCTGCGACTTTTCGTGCCTCAAGTACAGACACGTGTTTTAATGTGCGGGCGAACCTTTGACCCTCATAGACGATAAGGACCCTGACTTGGAACCACTCAGTGTCTGCGCTAAGAACATAGTGAACAACCCCTGGCCTTTACAAGCCTTGCCAGTTTGTACAATGCATTTTATGAATATTTTGAGTTAAAATGTTCAGTTCAGTGATCCTGCATTTTGGAAGGAATGCTTGTGTTGTAGTGATGCATACGGATGTTGTAACATACGCACGATACACAGGCCATAGAGATGTGGTTTCTGAATGTGGTAGTTGAACAGTGTACGAGCAACAGCGGCGTCTGCTTCTCAATTCCTGGTAATGGCGGCCAGCGGGCGGGAATAGGGAAAGAGACGTCACATGAAAACTATGTAGGGTGTCCGAAATAATCAGGCTCGATCTAAAATGGGCCAAAAAAATTAGCGCCTGCACATAGCAATCTAAGCTTTTCGTCAAAGGTGAATTTCTCAGGTTGGTTTTATCTTGCAAAATTACGAAGCGTACTTTCCTTTCTGTAAAACATAGGGCCAAAACACTTGCCAGGGTCAACGGCAGATTGCGACGCAGACGACCGAGTCGAGTGGCCATACCTCGGCAACCTTCTTCACCCTCACTCTCTCTCATTTTCACAGGTGAGGTGAGCGAGAGCAAGTTTCTTAACCCTGAAAACTTATGAGTGTGAGGGTGAGTGAGGATTGTGAGGGGTGTGAGGGCATGAGGACCATGAGTGTGTGAGGGGTATGAGTGTGCGAGGGCCGTGAGGGGGGTTATTGTGTACGGGGCGGGAGGGCCATGAGTGCGTGACGTTCAAAGACGGTGAGTGAAGGGCTGAAGGTCAGTGTGAGTGTGAGGGTGACTGAGGGCATGAGGTGAGTGTGGCTGTGAGGGTGAGGGTGAGTGGGGGCGAACTAAAATGCTGACCTCTGCGAGTGGCAGGGCGCGTTTGGCGCACAAATTGATGGATGACGTCGGGAGCAGCTCCGTAAGGTGTAAAGGTGTTTATTGGCACAACTTCCACACAGCCGAGTGCCTGAGGCAGCCAAAAGGCAGAAGCCCGTATAACGAAGTGCTGGCTGCCTCCTCAACTGTGTGCAGACAAACTTTGTCGGCAGCAAGAGTGCCGTCATTATGCAACCGTGTTTTCTTCTATTTTTGTTACTTCAAGTTTTGCTCTCATTGCCCGCATTTATTCTTGAACCAAAGGTGCATTACGGTGTTCATTTTAATAGACGGTCGTCGCGAGCAGACTTGATAGGGAGGTAGCGCCATCTATCAATAAGTGCGTCAAACACGCCCAGTCGCTCGACTCTGTCGTCTGCGTCGCCGTCCGCCGTTGACCCTGGCAAGTTTTCTCCCCCTATTTTTTTCTTTTTCTTCTTTTTTTTTTTTTTTTTCTTTTACAGAGGGAGTTACGCTTTGTAATTTTTCAAGCTAAAATCGACCTGTAAAATACACCTTTAAACAGAAGTTTAGATTGCTACGTGCAGGCGTAGCAATCTATACAACCAATTTAAGATCTAACCTGGTTATTTCGAACACCGTATATATCAATTTAAGTTGATTCAAACGGTGCCCTGACGCAAAAGCTGAGGCATCTCAAAGCGATGCGATATTTGGCCCTCCAAACGCACATGGCGAAATGTCACGTAGTTACCTTATCCTGGCAGACGTTCACGAACTCGTCCTGCAGCTTGTGTCCGCGCTTTCTGAAAACATTAAAGTAAACGCATAAATTCTGTAACCCAATATTTATGCGTTTCATTAGTGGCAAACGAGATAAAAAGCGGCTACAAACCTCAAAAGCTCCAAGTACGTGGACGCCGCCATTTTTAACGTTAGAACAACAGCGCCGCATCAGTTGCGGCGGTTGCAGTGCAAACGAGCAACACGTTATCAAAACGTTGGGTTTTCCTATCCACGATCAACATCCTACCGATGATACCCCTTTCACGAAATAGACCTTATAATATTTTAGTAAAATTATAGTATATTTACGAAGTGTCACGTTGCGTGTATTTTTGTGTCGGTAGTGATGAAATCATCATCATGAAATTTCCTTGAGTTGTTGCCTTGTTGACGTTGTTGCTGGCCGAGTGACTAATTGTTTGCACGGGATAAATCGAGTGTATTTAATTGGCACTTTCATATACTTTCTGATTATCTGTTTTTTATCCCGTATTTTTTCGCGCGTACTTCGTTGATCAGTGCGTGCATGGTCAGCTGACAAAGGGCCTTAGCTATGAGTTTGTTTGGGAAAAAGGTCAGCCCGGCTGGTAGGTTTGATTTCGAAGCTATGATGGTGTCCACTTCTGAATTGCGCGATTTGTCTGACGGCGACATTGTTTTACACTTGCAGAACAAATGCGGCAACAAAACCGTAACCTCCGTAAAGCTCAGAGGGATATCGAGAAGGACAGGCGTGATCTGGAGAGGCAAGAGAAGCAACTGGTAAGCAAGAGACTGCTATCTTTCCCAGGGGTTTCCCCAGAAATTGAAATTAGGACGAGTTGTCTAAATTCTTTTTCTTTTTTTTTTCTTTTTTTTTTTTTTTTGGGGGGGGGGGGGGCATTTTTAGAAAAAAAATCCCTACACACCCCAGGCGGTGTGTAGGGCAGAAGGGTTTGGATTTGGGCTAGTTGGTTGAACATGTTTAGGGGTTAAAAGCGCTTAAAACGACGGACGAGTAGGAGAGAGACACACCACAGAGCGCTACTTGCAACTCGTGTGGTTTTTCCAATAATAATCCAGTTGCAAGTAGCACTCTGTGGTGTGTGTCTCTCCTACTCGTCCGTCGTTTTTAGCGCTTTTAACCCCTAAAAAAGGTGTGTAGGGGATTCACTGCTCTTTCCTTATGCCCGTGCCCGTAAAACGTGAAAATGTTTATTTCGCATAAAAATGGGCATCTTTTTCAATGGGTGGTGCACCTTGAGACTAGTTCAATCAAACCTGACGTAAAGTCTCCATTCTTTTTCGCAGGAGCTCGAAATCAAGAAGGCTGCCAAAGAGGGAAACAAGCAGGTAGGTCATATTTCAGTGCTCGTATTCTAAGTACAAAGGACGAGAAAAACTCCTGCTCTCTCAGATCCTCTTGCAATATATGGATTGTTGGTAGTAATAGTATGCTTTATTTCCCAAAAATACAAAAAGTGCCATGCAAGGCATTGTTCCAACAGGCGTTGATTGACTAATTGCTTAAATATATAATGGCACAAAGACTATCAAGGCTATGCGGAGTGCAAGTTCGCCTGCTTTTTGAGCAGGAGCTGCAGTGACATGAAAACACCGAGCTCTGATTGGCTACAATATGTGGGTAGACCTCAGTGGCAGCTATCATTGAGGTTTATCCACTATCCCTTTGTCAGGGCCATTCAGAGCTCGGCGTTCTGACGTCAGTGTAGCAAGCTTTGCAGGAAGCAAGCAAACTTGCGTCTTGCATAGTAATTGTGCTGTGTGTATCTTTAGACAACCCGAAGTTAGTCAGCCCCAATGGGTGTATAGTGTCTCTGTCACAGACCTTGTGCAGGTTACTTGCCCGTACAAGTGACTCAATGGCGGAGCTAGGGTGCCTTACGTAAAAAGCTTATACAGCCACTGCAGTCATTGTCACTGCTGGAGTGAAGTGAAGCAATACATGGGTTGCACTGACATCACATCAGCAGCCATTGTCAAGTACTTTTCTACTTTATGTATACCTTCTGCTGCTCATATTCCACACCTCCGATTTTTTTTATTCTTTTTCTTGGCAAGAACAAATTAGAATTACTATTGGTACAGTGTGATGAAGTCACATGCAAGTCAGGTATTTGCATCTACACCTAGCAGAATTCAAGGAGATAAACAAATGAAAAAGCCCCTAATGTATAACAATCAGAAGCAAATTTGATTCAATTCATTTCAAACTACTATAAAGGAGACATTAAAGACACTTATGTTTTAAACCACAAATGACGATGTCCCCCATCAAAACAGGCACTTAGAGCAACCCTAAATTCAATGTTTACTCGTTTCCTGTGGTCACATTTGTTTATTACGGTGCACACCACTCAGAAACCATGGCATAAGTCACAAAAGATGAGCTTACACTATTGCTTTTTTACCTGTCCAGAGCTTTTCTATATATATATATATATATATATATATATATATATATATATATATATATATATATATATATATATATATATGCTCAAATCACCTTTCTGTAGCATTTCAAACTTGCCTGTAGCTAATTGATCATTTACTATGTTCCCATTATTGCCTTTGTAAACAGACTCAAAAGAATGTCACAAAATTTTTACATTGGTAAATAATCTTGCTAAGTATAACTTGATATGATCTAATTTTTTAGATGGTTTTCTTTTTACCGGTTGAGATATTCCCAGAAGTCGGTTTCTACACAAATTTTGATGCAGCCAAAATGATTAGATGGAGAATATGGACCCTAACCAAAAGTTTGCTAAGCAGTAACCCCGATGTTTCAAGACCAGTTCGGTCCCTTGTTCATGGGTGAGTAATGGAAAGAACATGCATTGCTTAAATGCACAGACAGATGTATGGGGCTTTGCTGACATCATGCAGTTCCGAGGCGTAGATGCTGGGCAGAGAGCCTGAAGAAGGATTCACGTTCTTCTTTGTGATTGGATAAACCAAGACTCAACGAAGAGCCGCTTTTGCCAATTCCTTTCCAAGGCCAGCACGGTGCCGTTTTCAAAGTCGACTATGTGGTCGGTTGCTTCTACTTCCGGACATCGTAGCTGTGTCGTGTGTTAACTTGATGGTCCAAGAAGTCACCGTTTTTAAAGTATGAATAAAAGAAAGACTTTATTACGGTTAGATAAGGTTAAAACAATGACAAAGAGTACATTGAAAGGTTTCCGACGCGAACGTCTTCCATCGGTGCCTGGAAGCTGAGTGTGTTCTTTCACCCTCACGGCCAACGCCCATAGCCCGCGGAGGTGGTTGCGGCCCCGCGGCAGCAGACGCTCAGCAAACGATCGTCCTCCTCTCCTGTCTGAGCACCCCTCCTTGCCAGAGGTATAAACACAGCTGGCCCCCGTCGGAGTTGCGGTCTCCCCCTCCATGTCCGGGGTCGGAACACATTCACAAAGAAAAATAAGGCGCACTGTTGTATGTTATTTTAACACGTGTAAGCCCCTCTGCATAGTTCTTACTTTCGCCAACGTATGAGGCCGGGCAATCTCTACATGGTATGCAGTAGACCAAACCTTAGCCATCGCCTCCCCCCCCCCCCCCCCCCCCCCCCCAAAGAAAGGGCCAAGGTTTGTTCTTCCGCATACCATGTAGAGATTTCCCGGCCTCATACGTTGGCGAAAGTAAGAACTTCGCAGAGAGCCTTATGCAACACAAGCACGATGTCCGGAAGAAGGATGTGGAGGCAAGGGCCCTCGCAAAACACGTAGAACAACCGGCCATACAGTTGACTCCAAAAACAGCACCATGCTGGTCTTGGTTTATCCAGTGAAATAAAGGGGAACATGAATCATTCTTTGTGCTTTCTGCCCAGCAGCTATGTCTCGGGACTGCGTCACGTCAGCCCCATACATGCTCTCATCACTCACCCGTGAACAAGAAACTGGTCTCGAAACATTGGGTTACTGTTTATTAAACTTTTGGTTAGAGTCCCTATTTTGCGTATAATTTCTATTCCTAATCAAGTAGAGAGCTGCGAAACATTTACCTTCAAGCCAGAGTGATTGCAAGGTTCTTTTAAGAGATAATCAATATATTAGTTTTAAAGAACCATATTTTAAGAATTGTGTTTTGGGGGGCGGGGCATGAGATATGTGTAGATGTTAAATATATTTATAGTTTGTTTTGATGTATTAACAGGTATGCACAGTGCTAGCAAAGCAGCTTGTGCAGGTGCGGAAACAAAAGGCACGTACTTACACCGCCTCTTCTAAGGTTCAAGCAGTTGGGGCACAATCCAAGGTGTGTCTGCTTTTATCTATGATTATAATCTAAGCATAATGGAACTGGATTTGTAATGGTTGGCTTTGTTTTCCAGACCATGCATGCTAATGTGAAGCTTGCAGATGCCATGGCAACAACTGCAAAAGTAAGCAAGAGTAGTCATTGATTTACATTGGTTGATTTTGTTAATTATAAAGGTTGCCTATGAATGCCTACTGCTATACACATAATACAATTGAACTACCCTCTTCTTTTTTTTTTTCAGACAATGGGAGAAGTGAACAAAAGTATAAAGCCACAAGATATTGCAAGAACTATGCAGGAGTTTGAAAAAGAAACCACAAAGATGGGCATGACTGAAGAAATTGGTGAGTGTATTGTTGTTAACCTTTTTCACCACGTTTAAAGGGGTACTCCGCCGATTTTTGAGCTACCTCAACTAACTATATTTTCTGACTCCCCTGCCTTTGCCCTTTCTGGTATGCTATTTATATCGCGAAATTCATAATAGTTATTGCGAAATCGGCAAATGAAAATGATGCAAAAACAAACATTCAAATATACCCGCCCTTTTCAGGGCCGTGACGTCACTGGAAGTTTAGCTTGCCAGTCGGGCGAGCAGTCTAAAAAATAGAATATGCCAATCATTTGTTCCGTGCTGGAGCGCGGGGACTGGAGCGAGCTTCCAAAGCATTCATTTGATACCATGAAACTGCTTCGAATCAGTTGGGAACAAATTCTACAGTCCAAAGAGTGAACCTCTGCACTTCCAATGACGTCACTTTTTCATTGTTGCCAGTAGAGACTTTCAGCTTGAAAAACACTGTGAGGACTAAAATTGTAAATTCAATAACTTCGTCAAAAAAAATTATTTTGACCTAATATTTGGGATACCATTTTGGCGATGTTGTTTGGCGAGTTTAGCAAAATTTCAAGCAAATCGGGGACCATGAAGAAATCGGCGGAGTACCCCTTTAACCTACTATTCATATAACATCTAAACTGACTGAATATCATTGGATAAAAAGCAATCAGAACCAACTGGTACCCTGACTGTACTTTCTTTAACATCTGCATATACTTTATGTGAAAGGAGTCTTGTTTTAATAATGGTAGTAATCTTTGTATTCTTGGACACAACCACTTTAGTCTCTTGTTTTTTGCCCCTGCACATGAAAGGAAAGGGGGGAGGAGGAGGGAAATTAGAAACCCTAAGTGCACTTACACAGAAATAAGGTTTAACCAAAGTATGACAATAATGTGAGCTGATGGCAGTGCATAGAATTTGTGCTGTAGACCGGTGTGATGTGGAGAAAGGACACTATATCGAGTGTTTCGGCACACTTTCAAAAATTCCTAAAAATGGGGTGGTTAAAAAAATAAAAGAACTCTTTACGGGAACGGACTGCCAGCCATGCTGGACGTCAGGGATCACAACAAACATAGAATTCCCAAAGTAACAAAATTCAAAGCTAGGTTAAAGAAAAAATAAAGCCAATTAATTTGGCGGCAGTTACGAATCGGTTGTTCCCAAGATTCTGCCGCCCTAGGCAGTTGCCTGCTCTGCCGATTGGTAAGTCCGCCCCTGCATTAGAGTACTCTGGGGAACCCATTGTGGTGGCAACTGAACATTGAAGCAAACTGAGTATCAAGTTGCCTGAAATTGCGTGAAGTTTGTTGAAAATAGAGCAGACTCAATATTATTTTTTGTAACCTGGTGCAAATATAAAAGTCGGGCACATATCCCCTGTTTGACGAGTGTAAGCAAAAAAAAAAAAAATGTTGTGTAAACATTTATTGTTATATTTAAATTTAGAAGGCTGCATCTGAGTCGGCTGGTGTGGGGGAGAGTAGTTCCAAGACCTCAGTAAATAAACGTGCACCACAGCCTTGAAGAAGCAATGTAGCTCATTGATGCTTTATTCATTATCTGTGCCATCAGTGGATGACACACTCAACTCCATCTTGGACGAATCCGGGGATGAGGAGGAACAAGACGCCATTGTCAACCAGGTGCTGGATGAAATTGGAATTGAAGTTTCTGGAAAGGTGAGTTCTTTGTTCTTGTTTTTCTTCTTCCAGGGTTTGCACAACATTGAACTGTTCTTCTTGTGCAGATGGCGAATGCTCCATCTGCCATGTCGGATCCGCTCGGCCACAGCTCGAAGGCCAAGCTCCCGTCAGACGATGAAATCGAGCGTCAGTTGGCTAAACTCAAAACCTAGGTCCTGTTCTGTGTCCCCTGGGTTTCCTTTCAATTTGGAGCTGCGTCGGCAATGTATTTTTTTGGTTCTTTTTGTATAATGATAATTGAAAGAAAGGCTCTGGTAACAAAAAGGTTTTTTATTCTAGCATCCCAGCCTCACTTTAAAAAGAGAGTTGTGAATTTATTTGCTCTGCAGATATTGTAAATGCAGGTTTATAATCTTGATAATTGTTGGATACTGATGCTAGTCTTGCTGGCAAATAATATTCGTCATGAAACATTTTAGGGCATCAGTGTTTTGCTCGATGCTGTTGTACATAACCTAGTATTTATAACTATTTTTGTCACAATAAACTGGATGGAAACAAAAGTTTGCTGCATGTATTGTGTAGATTTCTCAACTTGGGCAGTAAATCGTATTGAAATGTGCTATTTTTAATTTAAAAAAAGGTTTTATTTTGGCCAAGTCATTTTTTACAGCAGGTCCTTGTTCTTCCCTTTTATTGGTACAGTGTATCTACAGGGCAATGCAGTAAATCAGATGCAAGTCATCTAAACCATTGAGGAAGAACCCCCAAAGAACTTTAATTGTAAATACCGTAGATTATTAAAAAAAGGATTGCCGACAGTTTGATATTTTAGTCCCATGTTCCAGGAGCAAAAAATCGGCCATCGGATGGCCATAAAAACACGAGTCTCCTGTAAGGCTCTTCAAAATATTAGGCAATGGAGAAAATTGGTCATCTGCATTATGTCCTTATTCTCACCTCTTTTTATTCACATTCTGCACATTGAAAAACGCAGCGAAAGGGCCCAATCACGCACCTGATTTCGCCACCCCACCGTCTCCTTCCACACAATAAAGTTTGTCTGCTGTGGTCACTGAATGCCAATAGACACATGAACGCAGCAGCTGAAGCCATCAACAGCTGCGCCATCTCTTGAATGCCGTGGGCTACCGACACGGCAACACTATCTTGGGCTCTAAGCTAGGCTTCCGTCAAACAGACCGTCTGGACACCCCTCGTTTCGCTCAGGGAAACTCATAATCTCGAGCCCAAGCATGGACCAAGCCTAGTCGGAACTGCAAAGGGATCACCAGGCGACCGCTTGTCTACCTCCACAATAGCACGTCTGACTTCGCTGGTGTTGCCACATTAATTTTAGCAGACAGCATTTGGAAGGTGGCATCGGCTTTGGCTGGCTTCAGGTGCTGCATTTGCACGTTCCTCCATAAAGACACTACCCGTACCAGACGGACTTTATCGGTGGGGTGGTGAGTTCAGGTGCATGCTTGGGCTCCTTCACCACGCTTTTCATTGAACGGATTGTGAACAAAAAGTATGAAATAAAAACTTAATGCAGATGGCTGATTTTTTCCAGTGCCCAATATTTTCACAGGCCTTGCACGAAAAGTGATTTTAGCTTGCAATTTGAGCGAAGTTTCTTGTACTGCAACATGGGGCTAAACTACCCATGTGCCGGATCGCCTACCATGGCTAAATGCTCACATCTAGGAAGGAAACTTGTGGAACAATAACCACAATTGGTAATGAAGTAGCTCAGGTCTAGGTTGGCTGTGCTGCAGTATGATGCACTGCCTCCAACAATGAGTGGAACGTGTAACCACAACAAATAGAAACCTTTGTCTAATGTTGCTTGAATATCATTCCAGTTTCTTGACTTCGTAAAACACCCAGCTGAATATATGTCAAGGAATTTCTACGTCACATTAGAAAATGCGCAAATGAATGAACTAAGTTGCTAGTTTATGGAGCCTCAGTCCTGATTTCTAAATCGGTGTGCCTACAAAATATTACTAAATTTTGTACCTGTCAACCTACCTAAAAATGATTGCTATTTTCTGGCGAACACTGATTTATAGCTTCCCGAGTTCCGATGACATTGCATTTTTACAGGCCTGCTAGTTTCGCATTATTCTGTTCTTTATTCTTGCACCTAAGTTTTGCTGATCACCATCTAGCTCTGTGAAGATAAACATTGTTGAGGTTCCTTCATAGGACATGGATTTGTGGATTTGCAATGTCAGTGTTATCACCATAAATAGGGAGAGTGCTCTTTTAATGCAATAGCATTCGTCAGCAAGCCCCCCCCCCCAATTTGTGGACCTTTATGGCCTCCTCCTTTTCAGTTTCCCCACTATATTTGGCAGGAAAATTGATGTCGCAGGACCTAAAGACAAATGCAGGTTCCCCTCTAAATTTAGTGAAAGAATTTACGTCGTGTGACCTACCATGCACCAATTCAGTTTCCCCGCTATATTTGGCGGGAAAATTGATGTCACGTGAGCTGACATCGCATGACCTAGGCACCAATTCATGTTCCCCGCTAAATTTAGCGGAAGAATTTACGTCACGTGACCTATGCACCAATTCAGTTTCCCCGCTAAATTTGGCGGGAAATTGATTTCACGTTACCTGACGTCGCATGACCTAGGCACCAATTCATGTTCCCCGCGGTAACCGGACAAAAGCTCACCGGACAAAAGCTCACCGGACAGAAGCTCACCGGACAAAAGCTCACCGGACAAAAGCTCACCCGTTTTTTGACAGACCCGGACAAAAGCTCACCCCTTTTTTTGACAGACCCGGGCAAAAGCTCACCTCGATTTCTTTTTTTTTCCTACCCGGGCGAAACACGGGCTGAAATAAAGTGCGGACGCAATGGACATTGGACCATTTTTAGGAGAACTTGTACCTCATCCACCATTGAGTTGCGAATTTTTTTAAAAATACCTTGAAAGAGCGGGAGTTCGGCCTTTTGGAAAAGTACAAGACAAATGACCAATTTAAAAAAAAAAAAAATTGTGCGGGATTTTAGATAGGCTCGGGTTACTTCCACCACAGCTTGTTCCACAAGAACCAACGTTACTAGAACACTCAGTTGGGAAACTCGCCGTCGAAACCTGAGCCGTTGGCGTCCACCGAGACCGAGCTAAATGCGACAACAGCGCCACTCTTTTTCATTTGTCTGTACTATGGTTACCTCGAGCTTTTTGAAAGCCTGTTTTTGCGTAAAAACAAACGGAAAAGACTCTTTTTGTATGCAATTTATTGGAGTTTAGTACCAAATGATGGGCGCGTGATGTTTTTATCATCTTTAGTTCGCAAGGTTTTGCGGAACAATTAATATTGTTTTCATACAACCATGCCTCAGCGGGCCTTTCAGGTAGCACGTCCTGACCTAGGTGCATTTTAACGTCAGTAGCTGAACGCGGCGCGTCCGCCGGGGAGACGGGGGTGGCACCCCTGTAACCTCTACTGTATCTGTTCTTAAGCCGAAGTAGAAGTCACGTGCAGTTCTTCGAGAGGCCGCTGTGAGAGAAATGGTGGCGTTGTGTTCGTCATTAGCTCGGTGCTCGGAGACAGATTGGGGCCACTTTTTCAAAGCTGTCTCTATGGGAGTTTCCCAACTGAGTGTTTTAGTAACGTTGACAAGAACTAACCACCAGGGAAAAGTCTACCGGTGACATCGGCTACCTGCTGGACTATTTTGATTGCACGTATTCCATCTGCGGCGGCACCCAGAGCGAATTCTTCCCTTCGCCTGACCCTGCGTCGACGGCGACCGGAGTTTCCCCCGGTACGGTGGAATATGTACGACACCACTCTTCAAGATAAAGACCGGATGAGCAACACCTGCGAAAACTAGAGTACCGGGTTCCAGAAGCTCGTCGGCCACGCCCATCCAAGCTTCGTGAGGCTGATTGAATGCCTAGAGCAAAATCAGGCGCTCGTTGCCACGGCATTGACAAAAGCCCGGAGAGGTGAGCCCACCGTAAAGCGGGTGCGAAAAATTACTCTGCACCTGCAGAATCGTCTTAGAAATATTTGCGAGGGCTTGCATGTACATCGAGATCTACCAAGACTGCTGGAGCTATAGTGGGGGCTGCATTCGCTTCTAACCAATCGATAAATAAACTTGTTTCTACTAAAATCAACAAACCATACGCCTGTCAGATTTAATTTATCGTTGCCTTTTTGTGTCGCACGCATGCACCTAAGTTGTCCGCACTCCTGTGAAGACCAACATGAAATTTTCTCGTGGTGAGCTTTTGTCCGGGTCTGTGAAAATATGGGTGAGCTTTTGTCCGGGTCTGTGAAAAAATGGGTGAGCTTTTGTCCGGTGAGCTTTTGTCCGGTGAGCTTCTGTCCGGTGAGCTTTTGTCCGGTGAGCTTTTGTCCGGGATTCCGAAGTTCCCCGCTAAATTTAGCAGAAAAAATTGACGTCACGACGTGTGCACCAATTTAATTTCCCCACCAAATTTAACGGGAAAATTGATGTCACATGACCTGACGCCCCATGGCCTAGGCACTAATTCAACTTCTTTGCTAAATTTGGCGCAAAACTTTACGCCACGGACCTATGCATTACCGTAAATTTAGCGGAAGAATTGACGTCGCGTTTCCCCGCCAAATTTTGCGGGAAAATTGAATTCAGATAATAAAGTGTTTACTGAAAAGTTTCGTCGTCGTATTCACAGTGAGCTCATGACGAATGCTATCGCAATTTATACAACCAGCAATAGGAGTTTCTGCAGCCATATATTTTATCAAGATGATATAACAATACAATGGAGAAGCACCTGGATAGTTCATAACCCTCTTTCGTAACAATTGGTTACTTTTGGTTAAACCTGTCACTCAGAGTGACCGCTTAATTTGAAAGGTTTTATGCAGGCCATGCCGAGAAACAGGAGGAGTGGAGAGCGCACGGAGTCATCAGAACGTTTGGATCTCGCATTCAAACGTGTTCGACCGGTGCTGTGGAGACAAAGGCATCTAGCTTTAGGCCTACCCACTATAATCATTGCAACCAGAGCTCGGCGTTCTGACGTTCACGAGCGCTCTCGTCTCTCTCAATTTCTCGGCGCTAGGCTGTGTTGTATAGAATATGATCAAAGTGGTACTATTCTAAGGATAATTTAACGAAGATGCACGCTTTGCAACATTTAGTATAAATCTGTCTGATTTGAACACTGACAGAAAGGATACTCTTCCATGAAGGATGGAACATGTTCAGAATGCTTGGAAAATTCTACTTTAAAAGGAAGTTTGGTCAGGAGCTCTTCGTATGTTTCCAGTGCCGACGTGCAGCTGATTCCTATTGCCTGCACGGAAAGGGAGCAACAGACACAATTTTATTGCCTAAGCAGTTATTCACAGTATGACTCGGGCATTGTAAGAACCTAATTCCACAACCCTCCCATCTTTGCTGTGAAGGAGGTATAGTGCCACTTTATTTGGGCTGATACATTATTCCTATCGATGCAAATCTAAAGCGATGCCTACATAGAGACAGTCACTCATCTTTACAAACATTTTGCTCTGTTTCTTAGTTTCTCCGAAAGTTTTATTGTATATCGAGTTTTTATTTTCGCAAAAGGCTGTACTATTATTAAGGCGTGCATTCATGTGCACTTACATGGTTTAGAAATAGTCCATTGGTTTTCAACACTTGCAATCCCATGGTGACAATTTTCTTCACGAAGTCCCAGTGCTCTCCTGTAAACCAGCGTGTTTATAACCTTTATCACACTCGCGTTCGTAGTTGGTTCAGATATCCGTAACGTTGTTGGAAAGTAAAAAATAGTCGAAATTTCAGGCGACCGGAAAGTGAAGTAATAAATGCGGTTCAGTTACCTTGTGGCTCAGTGCTAATTGGAATATCGGTGAGGTCATTGAACACGATGTCGAACGTTCTGCCTTCTCCTATGTATTGTTGCATCTTCTTGACACAGTCGTCTATGATGATCTTCGAAAAAAAAAAGATTTTATGAGCAAAATTGTGATGTTTTTGTAACAACCGAGGAACAGTAATGACGCAAGAGTTGCTCACGGCTGGAGAGGAAACAATGTTCTTAGAAAAACTTTTTTTAATCGCAATTTTGAAATTTTCACAACCACGAGGAACTCGTCCCAAAACGTGGGAAATCTCTACCAATTAAAAAACAAGTATATTACTTAGCTTTTTTTTTTTTGTCATGTGCCATTGCTTATGGGTGTATTCATACTGTTTAAATGGGTTTATAAACAGGATTGCTCTTTTTTTGGCAATAACTGAAGTGTATTTTAAAGCTTTTCTTTTTACCCTATATTCGAAGCATATAATTAGCTAGTTGCAGCTTGGGTTAATTACCGTCCCCTCTTCGCTTTTGCAATGGTAATGTATAATAGCACTGCGTTATAAACATTATATTACCTTTAAATATACGATGAATACTTAAAAATTGCCAAAAATATACTGGTATAAATATAGTTTTAAACGAGAAACGCCCTAACAACCCGTGACCAGGGTGTTAAAGTTTGCCGTATTTTTTTTATTTTTTTTTTATTGAAGAATAAACATTTTACATATGAATGCAGATTCAAAATCAGCATTATAAAACACGCTTACTTGGGGGATTTCTAAGATTTAGATTTGTTAATGAGAAATACTTATTAAAATCTTTGTCCGCTCTTTGACTATCTGTAGACCGAACACGATTTGGCATTGGTTTCTCACCTCGTAATTATTTCCTTTGAGTGTGTCCAAAACATCACCACATGCACCTCGTAGATGTATGCGACAGGCATTAATGACCATTTCATCAATGTGACGACTTTGTTAAGGTGTGAATGAGCTTATTGTAATAATGGGCTCCACCTAATAGGAAATGGTCAACATACAGGGTAAAGTGGAAAGTGGAGCTAATTGATAAGATGACATGATATTAAAAACAGCGCACAAGCAGTGAGGAAGAGAAGAATACAGAGCGGAGATAACACAGACACGCGGGGTGTTCTTTTCTTGAAACTTTACCAACGCGTAAAAAAAAAAAAAAAAAAAAAAAAAAAAACCGTGAAAGCTACGCTAATGCGGTCCCTGCAGACGACTTATACGGCTAAACGTCGCAACACGTCCGATAATCTAACTAAATTTTCTTAATTCCTCTTTAGAAGTTAGGGAACATAAACATGTGGCTCCATTAGAAACTCGCTGAGCGTAATCGAAATAAATGACTAAATCAGAAAGTTTTAGAGAGACGGAACACGAGGGAAGCGCGGTAGAGCGCTAAAGTTACCACTCGTGCATCAGGCGCAAGGTTGGTGGTTCGAAAACGAGGACAACAAGAGACGGACAAACCGCGCGGGCGTCGCTTTCACACCTTCAGACACGAGTGGTAACTTTAGCGCCCCATCGCTCTTGTCACGCGCTCCAAGTCCTTCTAAAATGCACGGATTTAGTGACTTTCCATGACGCCGAGCAAGTTTCCAATCGTAGCCATATGTTTACCTCCAGGGATGGGCAGTATTTCAAATACAAGTATTTGAAAAACGTATTTCAAATACTTTGTGTATTTTGCATTTGTATTTAATTACAAATTGGATAATGTATTTGACGTGTGTATTTAGATACTAAAACGTGGGTATTTCAAATACAATTGTAATTAAATACAATATTGTGGGCGAAAGTACATCCCTCAAATTTATTGTCACGACTCATTTTGCTCATCCTAAGACGAATCCAAAGCTGCTCTTTCTTCATCTCAACGCCAACGGCAACAACAAACCAAGAAACTCTTTATCTCTTCATACACCAGTCCTGCGGCAGTTCGCGCCTCAAGGGGTGTCCAAACAGGACACTAAAAAACGCACGACTCCGACAAATCCTGAAAATTGAAGCGGACGCGCCCGCTTCAAGCCCGCTTCAATTTTCACGATTTGTCGGAGTCGTGCGTTTTGTAGTGTCCTGTTTTGACACCCCTTAACTCACCGCGGGCGCCTGGGCACGCCGGGCGCCCGCGGCATTTGCCTCTATTACGTTAAATAAATGTTATTGCCAAATTTACAATTCTTGTTTTTATGCATGTGGTTGTAAGATATAGTCTCCATTTTTTATTCGGCCATGGGGCTTTTATTCTTTTTCTCCTCCGGCTTTATTTTAAAGGCACTGTGCAGAGCAGGAAGAAAACTACGTTCTGCACCGAATGCAGTTGCAACAATAAAAAATTCTCTATATATAGCTATACTCTGTTTCACCTTATGATGTACCGCAGGAAAGGCTACAAGCGCGAGCTCCTTGCTCTAGGGTACATCTCGGCGGCACAAGCTCTCGTGCGTTAAGAGTAGCTCCCAACGCTATGAGCTCGCGCTTCTAGCCTTCGCTGCGGTACAACATAAGGTGAAACGGAGTATAGTGCTGCGCGTCTTGGTCGTCTCGATTCTTTGTTGGTCTATACCAGGGGTGGCCACGCTGACCCGGCCTAAGAGCCGCAAAGGAAACCACGAAACTTCTAAGAGCCGCTGAAAAAAAAAGGGGGGGGGGGGGGGCAAAACAAATACAGCTGCCTGGTTACCCCGAAAGCGTAAAAAAGCAGCTCGCGGGTCACAACTGCAATCCGGTAAAAATAACAATGAGAATGTTCCTGGTCCTTTGTGAACTTGAACATAACGTTTGTGACTAGTGGAAGCTATGAATGAGGTCAACCCGGGATTCCGCGACCTTCAACAAGAAACGATATGGAGGGAACATCCGTTACCTAAAGGGGACAAGCATCACCGGCGAGTGACAAAAGCCGCGAGACAGAACATTTCCTCGACCCCAAGCCAAAGTGCATGCATGTTTTGACTAGGGTGCCTTCATGTGCGAAGGCCCCCTAGTTTTGACAGTCCCTGTCCTTGATGCCTTTCCCCCTAGGGTCCGGCAAACTCTCTTGAACAATAAAAGAAACAGGATCTGTAAAAACATACGAGTGAAAAGCGGTTCGACTGTACGCATGGGGGGCACAAGGCTGCCAGACCGCAAGTTGGTCTTTATTCTGACATCCTTTCCATTTTCCTGGAGAAACGCGGAAAGGAACGAGGGGGGGGGGGGGGGGGGTTCGTACGAGGGATCCGCGAGCCGCACCATGACAAGCAAAGAGCCGCATGCGGCTCGCGAGCCGCGGTTTGGCCACCCCTGGTCTATACCAAAATGTAATCGACACAAAAAGCTGCTTGAAGCTCTGTACTTTTTTCACCTATTACGTCCAAGCTGATTACATTTTTTTTTAGATTATATTTCTATTACGTTACTAGAGCCTCGCACACTAACTCCTGAGTGTGCGATGCAAAATTAAAATGAGATAACCAAAAACCCGTTGCAGGTGCCCTGAAGTCGCTGACGCAAATTTTGAGAAATGTATTTGCAGGAGACCAAATACATTTGGTTGTATTTGTATCTTGTACTTAAATGCTTTTTTTGGAAATGTAATTAGATTTGTAATTAAATACATTTTTGACGAAGTATTTTGTATTTGTATTTCGATGTATTTTGCCCATCCCTGTTTATCTCCAATAATTAAGAAAGGTAATTAACAAATATCACTTAATGGCCGACGTATCTTGACGATTAGCTCTCTATAATGCCCCCAAGACCGTATAACGGTCTTGGAGGTATTAGAGGGACAGTTTAATGTCTTCTAAATAATTTAAGCGAACCATTGTATGCATTATGGGACTTTGGAGGTAAAGGATGCTGTCATTTGTTTTTAATAGTCTGTAAAACATAAAAACATTCAGTAAAAAATAAGTCACCACATGGAGCTACTCTTAATTGATCATGACCGACTAAGACTCTCAAAAAAAGCTAGGAAGATCCCAAATTGCACACTCTTCTGGGCCAATTTGTTTGTTGTTGGTAATTTAGGACGGCGAGAGCCCAAAGTAGTTGAGGTATAACTGAACTTTATATTCTTTGGCTAGGAACTGGGTGTTTTGGCTCAAAATTGCCAAGCAAGAGCCAGAGGGGCTTCACTGCCCAGTTGTTAGCTTGTCAACTAGCTCCTTTGGGCGTTAGCTCACGAGCAAACGCCAAAATTAGACTTCAATGCTGGTTGTTAGGTTGGTCGTTAGGATTACCAAACTTGAGCAAAGATAATCTTTTCTCTGGTGTACTGCTTGGGATGCCCTATATTGACCTTTACACATATTCTATAAATACGCAAAAATAAATTCACGCTTACTTTGTCGTTTCGGACGTGGAGGGTCAACCGCTACGAGTTATTACGAGGAACGGAGAATACTAACGCAAGAATAATATTTGTCCTGGAACTTGGGAAGATTCCTTTTTGCATTGTCATTACTTGGACAAATATTATGCATTCGAAGCAAAGACTTGTATTGGTCCTGCCGTCATCATGGCATGTTCATTATAAAGGAGACAAAGCATAACATTTCCAGTTAGCCGAAACCTTGTCTTTAAAAAAATGAATAAATAATATGACGAGTTCCGCAAATTGAGACATGAAGAGCAGCACGCTTCTCTTGGCTCTCAGTTTCGTCACCCATGGCATAACATCGGGTCGGCCATTCCGATTCGGCGCGTGCCAGTCAAAGGATATATCGACCATGGTCACGTATTTGGGGTTTTCCTTGAGCAACTCGCATAAGAGGCCTCCGTCTCCGCCCCCCAGAATCAATATCTCCTTGTCGGTGTAGGAAACTCGCCGGTATTTCATCAGGCCGTGGGTGTAGCTGATGTCTTTCTCCGCCAGATCTGCAATCGAGCAGGGACAAAAAGTAATTGTTTCACATATCACCAATTGAATACAATCTAAAAAAATAATAATAACAATTTCTTTTTATGGTACACTCTCAAAAGAGCAGGGAGCTTTGTAACCGGCAAAAATGAAATTATGTTAAGACAAAAAAGAAAGCACTGAGCATGACATCATGTGCTTGCGTCATAATCAGTGTCACAGCGCAGACTGGTCATGTGGGTCGAAAGCACTCTTCCATGTGCTTTGCGTGAAAGTAGGCGCACTGTCTCTGCGCAAGGTATAGGCTGTAGCGTGATCACGTGACAAAAGACCGGCGCGCGACTGGTCCAAGGAACACGTAGCTCTCACCGCACTGTCTGGTTAGCGGTGGACGGAGCACGAGGAGTAGCGCAAAACAAAGACGTTCTTCTCGATCCTGTTACAGCAAGATTAATTGTGATGTCACAATCTTTTTTTCTTTTTTTAGGGGCGAAGGCTCTTAGGGTCTAGCCTTGTCCGGCGTCCGTGCTCACATCGATCTTGCTGGTGCTCGTGAGCTCACGTGCTCACGTGCTCGTATAGGGCAAAAAAAATAAATAAAAAAATGCTTGCGCAGTCGACAGGATTCGAACCTGTGCGGGGAGACCCCAATGGATTTCGAGTCCATCGCCTTAACCACTCGGCCACGACTGCGGGATGAAGGGGGCTCTGAGATGTGGTAGTAACTCAAGAGCTGGGGATGTTATGAATGAAACGTTGCATGTAGCCGCTCAACGTCTATACAGGAGAGGGCGCTGCGGTCAAATGCGTATATAATCGCGTTAAAGTTTGCATGCATTGGCTCAACGTTTACAGACGAGGGGGCGCTGCGGTCAAATGCTCAAATGCGTATATAGCCACGTTCCATACCACACATTCTCTTTCTGACATGGATGAAAACGAACGAAAGGCTCGGCATGCTGCGGCTCAGCGTCTACGCAGGCAAGCACCACCAGAGCTTCGCCCCAATCAACATCACTCACAACGTGGAGATGTTTTTTTTTTCTTTGTGTGTGTGTGTGTGGGGGGGGGGGGGGGCGGGCTGATACAGACTTGTACGTAACGCGTTACAAGTAATTGATTACTTGTAATCAATTACAGTTAAGTGTAATTTTATAACGCTTCAATTACATTTGTCAAGCTGTAACGCTCGGAGTAATTCAATTACTTTTTTCTGTAATCAATTACAAAATCAATTACACAATTACCAATTACATTTTTCATTCCACAATTTTTTTTCTCACAAAAATCAACATAGTCACTCAGCCATGGAGCAAAAATGATTGACATTTTTTTAACATCTAAAAAAAATAAAACTAGGATTAGTCGGCAAATCCTTTTTTCTTTTGCGCCACGCTCTTCTACAAGCGCGCCACCAGCCTTGGCTGGGGAGTTCCGGATCTCGTTGCAGATTGCTGATAAAGTCGACGGGAAGCGGGAACTCGCTATTGACTTTTTAGTGGGCTTTGTTCCTTAGGTCGACGCGTCAGCTACACGACAAGGTCCGGGTCTGAAAACAAAAAAGGGAACAATAACCAAACAAAATTGTGTACGCAATATTTTACTGTGTATTTGTGTATTTCTGTCATCGCAATAAGAAGTAACGTGAAAGTAACTTGAAAAGTAATCAATTACTTTGCAGTAATTGTTCAATTACTTCTGGGAGGCAGTAATCAGTAACGGTAATCGGTTACTTCTTTGACTGTAGTAATTGTAATTGTAATCAGTTACTTTTTTTCAGTAACGTGTACAAGTCTGGCCGCTGATAAGACTGCCCGATAACTTTTGGAAGCGTTCAAGATAAGAAGTGAGGGGGAGAATAAATGCGTAAGCCAATCTTCGGTTTATTTACACACGCAAAACAAAAGATTGGCTTTCAAAGTTCGTGTTGACGCGATTATAGTGTAGGGTGTTTCCACGTCAGATAGTATAACTTTAGGTCCGGGTCATATTTGTTATGTGTATATATATATATAAAAATATATGTGAAAGCCGCGTTCTTGGGAAGCGCATTGAGCTATATGCGAACGCCGTGGTTATTTTCCTTTCAAAAATATAAAAGTTCGAAGCTCGAGGCGTTGAGATTGCCAAGGTTTCACTATGTTAATTTGCACAGCCGTCAATTTCGCATGTAAGCATGCACATTGTAATAACTTTTCTATTTACTTCATAAAAGTTTTCTATTTCTACGCAAAAGAAAAGCATTACGAAACACGTCAAATGACACGTTGTTAAAACACATTCACAAATTATTTACCATCGTACTCATATAAAACAACACAAAATATATCAATACATTTAAATACATTCTACGAATCCATAAGAAAATTGTGCTTTGTCAATATTGCAGTTTTGTCATTAATGCAGAAACGCAGCTCCTTTATTTACATTTAACAAAATTGCAAGCAAATATAAAAAAAAGAAATTAATCTTTTATTTTATTTTTTAATTTTAATGAACCGTTTACAATGACTCGAACTAAGTTGTGATGGCAAAACATCCAGTAACAGGATCTCACAAAGAAAAAAACGACCACAAACCTTTTATCAGTTTGAGCGTGCTTGTCTTCGTTACAAGTGCTTTGCCGCATGACGTCGGCTCCAAACAGTCATTCTCAACCGACAAAGGCTGTACAGCGGCACTGCTCTATCGTAGGGTTCAGAAAACTATGCTGTTCCTAGTCTCGATTTATATCTGTGTTTTCTTGCGCTGACTCTTAAGACCCCCTCCCCCTCCCTCTTCTTTAAAAAAAAAACACAAGAAGCAGTCGAAATTGAGCGTTTTTTGTTTCTTTCCGCAACGCCGTAAAAGGCTGCGCACGCCTTATATATATATATCCCTATAATGTGGGTGGATTTAATAGATTATACCCACCATGTTCTTCATTGAAATGATACCTTTAATTTGATTCATTAAAAATCTAATTGCTAAACTTAATTATTAACCTAATTATACCAAACACTTATTTTTTTGCTAAATTCACCATTCGGCAGGAGCCTATATTACATCAACTTTTTCTTCTGTGCGATGCGTATTCTTTTGACAAGAACAATTTGGCCTGCGTTTCGTGAAACACCCTGTATATATGGCTGAGTGCTTCTTCCAAAGACATTCCTTTCATATAGTATACATTTTGCAGAAATACACAAAATATGAGCCGGACCATCATTGTATCGACTGACGTGGAAACATCCAACAACAAAACCCTTGCAGTAATCGACTTTTATCTGCATTCCATTGTACCGTACGCATGGATACTTGAAATTGTAAGGTGGTTTTTTTGTGGCCACACACTGTTGAACACCAAGATACCGGCTCTCCAGATGCTACTCCCTTTGTTTTCGCGGTGATAGACCTTACTCGTGTGAGGGCTTTGGGCTTCACGCGTGATGTGCTGTGCATACAGTTCGCAACTGACGGCAGTAGTGGCGTCCACCGAAGGTACTTACATATGGCCCGGGGTGCTTGGGAAATGGGAGGGGAGGAGCGGGGGGTGAGGGGGCAATGCAAGGAAACACTAGTATGAACCTAAGGACGTAATTACTTTCTACGGTAGTAAAAAAATGTCTCATTGGAGCCAACGTCGTGCGACAAAATGAGTGAAGGTTTGTTGTCGTTTTTTCTTTATGAGGTTATACTTTACTCAATCTTTTGCCATCACAAGTTAGTTCAAGTCACTGTAAACGGTTAAGGAGTGTTTAAAGAAAATAAAAGATGGATTTGTTTTTAATGTTGACGTGCAATTCGGTTACATTTAGAGAAATGAGCTGCGTTTCTGCATTACTAACAAAACTACAATAATCGGCTAAGCATATATTTCTTATAGATTCGTGAACTGCATTTAAAGATGAACATTTTTATATATTTTGCGTTGTTTTATTTTAAGTAGTTAGTTGGCAAAATAATTTGTGAATGTCTCTCAAAGACGTGTTTATTTGACGTGTTTCGCAAATTGTTTTGTATAGAAACCTTTTATTGTAATTTTCAATTGTTTGTATACATGTAAACCCTTCAAAGAATAAATGGAAAAAAATATTACTACGTGCATGCTTTGGTGTGAAACAGGCGGCTGTGCAAAGTACCATAGTGAAACCTTAAGAATATCCACGCCACGAGATTCGAAATTTCATCTCCGGAAGAAAAGTGGCTACGGCGTTCGCATATAGCTGGAACGTTCCTCCCAAGAACATCGCTTTCAAATGTATATTTTACATAAATATACAAAAATATTACCCGATTCATCATTGTACGATCTGACGTCGAAACAGCCTGCAGTTGTTTTCTTCGTTGAACGTACGTTCAATAAGTTGAAGTTCAGTGCTCGTCTTGTCTGCTGCCTATTTTGTCCTTTGTCAATTGTGCGCTGTATCACCAATATGTAGGCATGAACCAACTCGCCTGGATTGTCACTTTGAAGTTATCCCTAAGTATTTCGAATGGCCCAGTAGATATTTTCTTCTAAAATATATTAATGCAATATAAGATTACGTGGATTTCAACTTATTTTTTGTCAAATCCACATGTACGACGATTATAAGATGATAATAATAATAATATTAATAATAAGCTTATTTTCATGTTTAATATGTTTAATGATGGAGCAAAGGGCAAAAGCCTAAATGGAGGCTTGACTAGCCCCTAGCGCCATACATTGGCTTAGCAGCGAAACAAAAAAAGAATATCGATACACAGGAACAATATTAAGACACGTACTGTGTTATTTCAAACAAGAAATAATAATAAAAAACACGGGACGATTACACTTCATCTAACTGACAGCCCTAGCATACACAAAGCATACACAAAATGTTGAAAATGAGTTGCCGAAGTCCCAGTACAGAAAAAACAAACGCAGGGCCTTGTAGGAAATAGTGTCTAAGCAAAGCTCTTTCAATATAAGTAAGTTTACAGTTTAGGTCTGGTATAATGTAGCGCTTGAGTAGCATATTCAGTACGACAAGGCACGACCATCAAATTT